ATAATCAATAGAAAAGTAGACTATGATACAGACGAGTGGACAGCTTGCCTCTAGAAGATGCTACCTTTTTAATGTTATTGTGGGGCATTGGGATACTTGTAGCTAAAGATTTCGCTCGTCACGCCGAAGATCCGGGTTCTATTCCCCACATGGGTATAACGTATGAAGCCCATTTCTGGTGTCCCGCTGTGATATTACTGGAACATTGCTAAATGCGGCGTAAAACTAAATTCACTCATTCACTCACTCATGTTAATGTTGTTTTTATCAGATTTCGCACATGAGAATCTAGTGCTGCAGCGTAGACAGCAAGGCACGGTGATGGACCATCGTCCAACAGCTATATTTCTTGGTTCTGTTGGTGTCGCAGTAATGGTGGCCGTGCTTCTGTTTGTTGTCGTCATTGACGTACCCAATTTGGTCGCTGACATGGCACGGGCTAAGCAGAATCTAAAACGATCCACAACACATTCGACCAGAAACGCAAAGACGAAAGATGTTACCAAGACAACACCTTAACTGACATATTGATGCCGTGGTTCTGGAATATCAATTACAATTGTCCAGCCAATTGCATAAAATGAGTGTTGATCATAAAATTTGAAAACAAATGTATATGCGTTGTCTATTACAGTTGTTGTAAATATGAAACTTTTAGTAATAAATATTCTTCTGCCTTCACATGAAAGTATTATGAACAGAGTGTTTCATTTTGGCATTTCCAAGTTTTTTCATATTGAATGCGATGATAGGTCAAACACAAAGAAACATTACATATCAAGTTAATATATGTTCATGGCTGGAAATGGCCAGGAAGCAGCCCAAACCATTTCAAATGGTGACTGTATAACCTTTCATATTTATATCGGCAGCTGGTTCCCGGTTTGGTTAGGTCAGCGGCAGAAATGCTGTTTTACTTTGTTTTCATTCAGGCTGAACTGAGTATATAGATGGTTGTTGGGACCCCCAAAAGAGGTCCAAGCACATACATACATGAAATTCTTCAAAGGCATTCAGAAGTTGGTGTAGTAATACAAGATAAATCTTATGGATAACAACTTCTTAAATCAAGAAGTTGTTATCCATAAGATTTGTCTTGTATTACATGCATACATGATCTCATAAAATAATCGAGTCTGGACCAGCCTATCCAGTGATTGCTACCAGCAGCATCGATCTTCGCAGTTACAATGACGTGCATCAGCCAAGTCGGCGAGACTGACCACCCGATCCCGTTAGTGATGCATGGGTACGGCAGGTACCAATTCTAACCCGGATCTTCGCGGGTACCAGTCTTAGTAAACCTAGGTTCAGTTTTATTCGTTACACTGCTATACTGATAGCAGTGTAACGAATACTACTGAGCCTAAGTTTACTTAGACTGCGCGGGTACCGAAGTGATACCGATCTTACACGTTAACCCTTTGGTGAAACACACGAGAAAGGGTACAGTGATAACACACATATAAGCAACATTATAGGAGTGAAACAGTATTCTGTATGCCTCTCAAGAAACTCATAGGACGTCATGTGTTTGGTACATGAAAATTAAAAGAGTTTTCTTTCAACGTTATACACTAAACGCCAAAAGAAACGTTACCCTCCTTCTTTAATGACGAAGGTACCTATCTTCAGCTGACGTTGTGATGCGTGGACGTCCACTTCTTGGACACTATACGGTGACCCCAGTCTGTCTGAAGCCCTGAATAAATCTTATAACCGTGATACTGAGGCATCCGAGGGCGTTGGCAACAGCATTGTATGTCGACCCCATCTGCACAACCCCAATGGATCTTTCTCTCTCTTCAGCGTTAATCGTGGCATATTTCTCGTACTTGTGTATCATATCATGTATTCTAGGCTCTCTTCATACCCTGTACAATCATTCTACATGTGAAATGGATGTAAATACTGCTTGAATATTGCTGCATTTTGGCGATTGATACTGCTATGTGTAAGCAGAAAATAGAAAAATGTTACTTTGCAAGCAAACAATTTAACAAAGATAATTTAAGATGTTCCTAAACATTTTTTACATTATCAAAAACACGTTTTACTTGTTTTCACTAATGCAAATCAGTAGAAAATGTTTTAAAAGACTGAAATCACAGGAATGATTATTTTACAATTTTACACACTCTACAACAGTTGTTTCTTGTTTTCATAGTTAAAAAATGACACTTTAAATGGTTTATCATTGTCCCAAAGCAGAATTGTATTTCAACCTTTCTTTTGGACATCAAAATTACTGTTATTGGTTTCTTTCGACATGGACGAATATAGGACAATTTAACTCTTCTGAAAAAGATGCATTTCACCTAAATATGAATGCATTTGAGAATTGTTTTTCGTGATTTGCATAAAGCTGTTTTATTAAGCTTTCTTGTAAACTAATACCTTCTAAGATATCTTTGATAGTTTTTCAGTAATTCATAAAAGTAGGAGGGTAACGTTTCTTTTGGCGTTTAGTGTATATAAGTTGTAGCGAGCATATATATTTTCTTGTTTACTGATAATCAGTTGTCACGATCCACGCAACTGCAATGATGAAGTAGGAGGGTAACGTTTCTTTTGGCGTTTAGTGTATATAAGTTGTAGCGAGCATATATATTTTCTTGTTTACTGATAATCAATTGTCACGATCCACGCAACTGCAATGATGTGGTAGTCAGCGGACCACGGAAACATTCGGGCAAATAGCCGCGCAATTCGTTGACATTTACAGATTCTGTGTCTCTTCATGTTTACAAAGCTCCACGACTGATAAATGACAAAGTACAAAATCGATCCTTTAGATCCCGAGGTTATTAATCATGGCAATTAAATCAGAAAGATTAGCGTCGATCTCTCCTGTTACATCAGTTTGTGTATAGATACATCCGGCGGGTGTAATGGAGATACCACTCATCCTTGTGTTTCTACTGCCAGCTCTAGGTAAGTGTGCTTGTGTATAATTCCATAGTGATTTTGCATAATTCAATAATATGGCAAAATCAATGTGCATATGATAGACTGAGTGTTCCAATTTTCTCAGTCATCCTTTTATACAATTTTTACCACATTTTATATTTCATAACCAGTGGAATCTAATTGGGGCGATAATCGTGATTGGTCATTCTTTGGAGTTGACATTCAATATACATATTAGACAAACTGCGATACTAATGTTTCTTGAATGAAAAAGATATAGTTACTTCCTTCACGTATATTTTCAAATTATTGCAGTACAAACACCAATCGCCCAATCAAAAGTGATTAGAAACAGCAATGTTTCTAGTTTTCTAGTACAACATTGTAATTTATCTACTCAATTCTATTCATTGTATTATTCAGAGTTCAGTACAGCCACCTGTCCTCCCGGTCCGTGGTCTGAGAGGGGAGGCTACTGCTACGCCACCTACTACACCTACAAGACCTTCTACGACGCCAAGAAGAGCTGCTTGCGTGAGGGAGCTCACCTGACCAGCGTCCAGTCCAGAGATGAGCTGACCCTTATCACAGCACTGTCCTCGGGGTAAATCTCTATCTCATCATTGTCCTGCGAAACATTGGAAATGAAACTTCAGCTTGGTGCTTTGCTAAAATGAATATGTTTGTCCTTTTCCCAAGCGGGCACCTGTATGGAGCTACTATGTTGAAAACAAGTTTACCAATGATTAGCAGAGAAAATCAAATTATGTATATAACAAGTCGATAAATACTCGGTAGCGCCAGTGTTGATAAAATGTTTCTTGTTAAGTTACTAAGTATATGTGTCAGCTTTCTATGAAACGTCAGACAGATGGATAACGTTTCTTCGCGATCGGATTTTGAGGTAGTGAGCATTGAACATTAATCTCAGGCAGAATTAACTGTTAATCTCACTCAGAAGAGACCACCGGTTTTCTTTACAGTTAGTGAATATATATATATAATTATACGCTGCTTTAGCAATATGCCAGCAATATCACGACGGGGGACACCAGAAATGGGCTTTAGACATTGTACCCATGTTGAGAATCGAACCCAGGTCTTAGGCTTTGATGAGTCCATGCCTTAACCACTGGGCTACCCCGCCGCTCTTCTGATTTAGAGTTAGTGAGTGGATTAACAGAGACCTATGTCACTACAGGGAGCTGGACAACAACTTCTGGGTAGGCCTCGAGAAGGTCGATGGGGCGTACAAGTGGACAGACGGGTCACCACTCATCACGTGGGCAAACATGCCGGTGAAGCTGACCCACGGTTTTAACTGTGGGGCCGTGGCAGCTGATTGGTTGGTGACACGGCCCTGCTACTACTCCTACTACTACATCTGCAAGAAATTGCCAGGTAAAAAAAACATGTGTAGAGTTAGAGTTGGAGATGGAACAGGGTAGAGGTAGAGGCAGAAAAGGATTAAGGTAGAGGCTGGATTAGGGTAGAGGCAGAATAGGGTAAGGGTGGAGTGTGTAAGGAGAGTCGGACAGAGGCAGAGTGGGGTAGTGGTAAGATTGGGGTAGGGGCTGGACTGGAGTAGAGGTAGCGGCATGAAGGGTGGTGTCTGTAACATTAACATCTTAATTTGCCTTAATGTAGGAATTTGTAAGGATGTTGATAAAAGTTGGTGATACGTGTGTTTTGTAAATGAAGGGTGCTACCGGTACCTAGGGCAGGACATTCTCCACGTTGTCGCGAACACCCGGTGTCATCACTGATTTTTCATATAATTTTCATTTTTTTCCCTTTACACCAAACGGAATTTGCTTCTGAGGAAAGTCAACATTGACGTTCCGTACTATATTATTTTTATCGATAACTTGATATGTTTTATTTTGTTTTATGTTTAATGTATTGTATGGAGAAAAAAAATTTATGTTTATGTTCCAGCAACGTCAAGTACAACTACAACTACTACAACAACTACAACACCCACTACGACAACGTCTATCACAACTGCAACCCCTTCTACAACCACAAGGACTACTACAACGACAACCTCTACTACAACTACAACTCCTACTACAACCACAACTACTACAATGACTCCTACCACAACCACAGTACCTACTACTACTCGAACAACAACTCCTACCACAACCACAGTACCTACTACTACTCGAACAACAACTCCTACCACAACCACAGTACCTACTACTACTCGAACAACAACAACTACAACCAGAACAACTACGTCTCGAAGACCACCAGCAACTACTACGACACTCATTACAACTACAGTCTTTGTTTTAAAGACAACACTTGCAGGTAAGAAAATAGAAATTTAACACATTATCACTAAAAAGACGCAATTCCTAGATGTAAAAATGTCGGAAGGCTGAAAATGGAACAAAACTGAATGACTCTAAGCAATGTATGAAATAAGGCCCGTCCGACCGACCGAGACGGTCTAGATTTCTGAGATTTCTAAATTTACGGTTAGCCAGCCCGATGGTCTGGTAATTTTTTTATATGTTCCATACATCTGATTGAATTCACCATATTTGGTCTGGTTAAATCCATTTTGGGCTGGTAACATTTTGAAATTACCAACCTTGATGTCTGGCTGGAGTTTTGGCTTGTTTCATACACTGCTCTAAGACTATTCATGATAGCAAATAAAACAAAAAACGTGTGTATTTTCACTCCAGTCCGGAAGAACCCCGACACGGAGAGTGTCCCGGACAATCGTCCTAGCGCTGTGGCGATTGGAGCTTTCGGGATCTTCATTCTGGCTGCCATCTTGGTTACGATATTTCTCTTGGATATTGGCACGTTTGTGAAACACTTCAGATGGATGCGGAGAAATATCAGAAGCTTCTGCCGCCGGCGTCGTGAGGACAGGAAGGTTATTTTCGACAGTGACGACGACAAATTGTAGACGAGGGAGCACTCCTCCATGATTTGATATTCATAGGATATGTATAGCGCCTCCATGCATACAGTACTGTCCACTTGGTCAACCTTCCGGTCAGAACCGTCGAGAGCGGACACACATTAACACAAAGGCATCACTCTATGTAATGTTTGCTTCGTTAGTCGAAATAAAAGCGATAGAAACTCTCTCCATCATCCTACTATTTGCCGACTCCCCTGTACGATTGTGACTATATCATAGCCATTTCCTTTGGTTATTAACTAGTGATGATACAAGCTGTTAGCGAAAAGGTGAATTTTGGAATCGTGTCCAAATTTGGAAAAACATGTATTTTAGGCGTAAAATTTATAATTGAAATAGATTTACTACTCGTTAGTCTCGCAGCCACTTTGGGTGTATGTTATACTAAACAGATGGCATTACACTCAAAAAACACATTCGTGAATGATAAATATTCTTTACAAACTGATTCACCGTTTCGTTGGCAAATTGTTAATATCTCTCGGTGAAGTGTTTTAGCCTATTTTCGCCCATAAACCTTACTTAGTCTGCAAATAGTGCCTGATTTCGTCCTCAGCAACTCATGCTTGTCTTAAAATGCTAAAGGTTATTACAAATGTCTCACTGAACAAATCGGGTAGAATTCTTTAATAGGATTAAGAAGGGTACAAATGATATTATTTAATTCGTGTCCCCTATGGAATCCTTTGCAAAAAGCCGACCATTGTATGGCTGAGGTACCTTTTTCAGCTCAAACTCCGTGAAATAGGCTCAACCTACTAGAAATCATGTGAATTCAGTTTCATATACACTTCATTTGTCGTTTTACCGAAGGTATCACCTGTTATTTGTATCTGTAACTGTCACCTTTCACCGATAGTGCCATTAAGTCCACGTCAGCGGTTATACTCATACAATTGCTATCTCGCCTTTAACGTTTCCTCTAACCCACTGACCTCTCTAAGATGTGGCCTTTCGGGTCTTTGTCCTTTATTGATGCCCTGAAATCCTGTTCTAAAGTAAAAACGAAGTTATAAAAACCGTTTTCCCGAGACGTCTATAATTCACTTTAACTGTTGGTTAAAGAGAAAATAAAATGGTTAATTTTTGTGTGATACAAGTATAAGCATAATTTTGACACACGTTAGCATTAATTCGCTGCTGTCAAAATGTAACACTAATTCCCGGTGCGATTTAAAAACAACGTCATTTCAGCATAGAGAGACGTTGTTCCCGCTCAGTGGCACGTACAGTCAGCTCCTGTCAGCCGGACTGTCTGTCTACAGTCGGACCGCTTCAAGTGGACATACAACGTAAACCAAATGTGCAGTTAACTTAACTAATTGCGTAGTATTCATTACCATATGGTTCATTAAATACATAGAGGTCAATTTCATCAACGGCATATTCTACATGGATACAGTAACCTACAGTTACACAAATCAGGGTCACGATTTTTCATTTAAAGTCTTCTCGGATGGTTAGAGATACTCGTAAACGTGACACGAAAACGTGACAATGTTGAATCTGCCTCTCTAAGACAAGCGGCATGTTGAGGTCAGAGGTCATGTTTAATCATGCACGTCACGTCACGTGATGTGCCATGATGGTGTTTCCAGCACTGTGGGGCGATCCTCCAAGCAGCAGGCAGGTCTCTGGAGCTCAAGCGTCTTTAATACAGAGGTGTTGCAAGTCTTCAAGTGACCTTTAACATTTCGACTGACCTTGACACTAAAGGCTTGAATACCCCTTTTCGTGCAAAGTATTCGTGTTAAAGGTTAACTGTTTCGTTCATCAGCGATTCTCACCGAGTGATTTACATATATGGGCATGATAATTTGAAGTTACCCGGACTACGCCATCCCAGTTTTCTGTGAAACATGAAGGTGCTAGTAGCTTGGATGTGCCTTGTTGTATTGGTCCCCATGATCAACGCTTTAGGAAGCCCTCTACCTGGCTCCTGTCGAATATGTCAAAGAAGGGGCATGTGTAAACCTCCCGATTGCGTGTGTTGCAGTGACAGAATGCCCTTTCCTAGGAGGAAGACGCCCCAGATGGTCTATTTTACCTTTGATGACGCTGTTGCCAGTCAAATCATTCCATATTACAAGAAACTGTTTCCTCCAGATAGGTTCAACCCAAACGGTTGTCCTATAGCCATGACATTGTTTGTGTCAGATAAAGACACAATATATTCACAAGTAAAAGACTTTTACGACCATGGAATGGAGATTGGTGTTCACAGCGTCACCCACGATCACCTTACGCCAGAAACGTTTGCTCAGGAAGCTCAAGGCCAAAAGGATAAGTTAGTTGCTGCTGGAATACCTGAAAAGTCCATCACGGGTTGGAGGAGCCCATTTCTAGAAGTTGAAGGTAATACCCAGTTTAAGAACCTAACTTATCTAGGATTTACATATGATGCAACACTTTCTACAGCACAAACTGATGGCCGTGGGAGATCATTCCCCATACCCTTTACACTTGATTATGGTTGGCCTTTCAGCTGTAGGATTAATGATTGCCCAACCGAGCCTCACAAAGGATTCTGGGAAGTTCCGGTTGTAGAACTGCGCATGACTCATGATCGACCGTGTGTCTATGTCGACGCTTGTCCTATACCATGGGGCAACCAATCAGCGGCTTCAGAGTTACTTTGGCATAATTTCAATCGCTACTATGAAGGGAACCGTGCCCCACTTGGATTCAACATGCATGCTGGCTGGTTTTATGATCCAACCAGATTAAAAGCCATGGACCAGTTTATCGAAGCTTTGTCTCAGAAAGATGATGTTTACATTCTTACTATCAGCCAAGTTATTGAATGGCTGAAGAACCCAACTCCGCTTGATGGTATTAAGTACTTTGACCCTTGGGGTTGTACCCGAAGTAGAAAAATAATATTTCCAGAAGACAGACAATTATGGAAGGATGTGCATCATCATTCCCACCATAACAGCGGAGTGTCTCAACCATGGTTACAACATCGTGACACTGTTCAGGAACAGCAGCAGGTAGCACCTAAAGAGACTGATCCAAAACTTCAAGGTACACGATCAGGCACACATTCTTCCTCGTGGTGGCAGAACCATAGCTGGTTGTTTGAACGTAAAGGTCAACCGAGAAAGGAAGTTGATCAGAATACTGGTAATCCTCCTGAAGCCAAAGCTCCTACAGAACCCAAACGTAATGTTGTATACACGATCAAAAAGAAACCAGAGATGGATCCAATGAGTGATACTCCCATGGGTGGCATTGGGCGAATGATGGGGTCCAAAAGGTCAACTTCACAATCAGCTGCCCCTGCACCAAAACCTCGGACAGAGGGACCAAAACCGTCACAGGTTGAGCCAGATAGCCACTCATCCATTTTATGGACTATAGGGTCAAAGGTTCCTGATACAAGAAGAAAGGCTCCTAGTGACAGCAATACGGGACGACTGATGAAAGTTCTATTTGAAGCTGATTTGCAACATAGAGAAATGCCACAACAGAGATCAACTACAGCAAAACCTCATGTACCCAAAACAAAGTCACGGTTCCCTACACCACAACAAGCCCTTGCAAGATCTCTCCCGAGATCAGACATCAGATCAGATACAAAACTGTTTTCTGTTAATGAACGCATGCCTTCAGTTTTTCCTCAGGAGACACCTGTTTCTATTGTACCTGAAAATATGAAGATTAATTCAGCATCAACACAGGAAGTGCCTCAGCAAATAGAACAAAACAAGCAGGGGGTCAATTTAGGACCATCCCAAGAGCCACAAGGCACAGATTCTGCCAGCTTTAAAGAGAGCCAAAGAGAGAAATTGGCAAGGCTTAAGCAGCAGCTTGATGGTTTACATGCTAAGTTTATTGATGCCCCAAATGCTCCAGGCTCTCAAGTAGCAAAAACAACTCCGACAACATCCTCACAGACCCAAGTTGAGCCAAAGCGACACATCCCATCACAGGGTGAGAGACATCGTGATCAGTCGCGGCCCCGACCATCAAAAACAGGAACAGACTGGCAGGGACGAGACTCTTTGATCAATGATCAGGCACGCCTTGATAAAGACTATAGAATCCTTGATTTTATCGAGCCTCAAATCAACCAAGGCAATCGACCATCTCGCAAAAAGCCTTCCGATATTCGAGAATTCATATTTGAACCCATTAAGAGCAAAAAATCTACACCTGAAAGACGAATGCCTAATTTAAGCAGCCGTGACATCCCAGTGTCAGGCAAACCTCAAGAGCATAGACCAGATGTTCAAATGCTTGACTCTAATACGAACATACAAGCAACCATAGCTCGCCAGACTGTCAATGATGATCCATGGTCAAATCCAAGAATGTCAGATCAGTCTAGGGACATTAATGCTGGAATCAATGAGACTCCAAAATCGACCATGCCCACAGGAAGGTCACTGGAGGAACTTCCATTCCTTCCTGATCATTTAGTTGATCACCCACGTCCAGATGTTACAAAGGCACAGGTTCCTTCTCAAACAACCAGTTCCCTTGACGCTAACAAGATGACCTTTAGTTTTGGACCAATGGAACTTGAAACAAATGCACCTGCTTCTGGTGTTCCTCTTCCACCACAGCAACCTGACACTAGAGTACAGGAACCTTTCCAAAAACACAGTTCTCCCAATGCTGACAAGATGAGCTTTAGGTTTGGACCAATGGAACCTGAAACAAATGCACCTGCTTCTGGTGTTCCTCTTCCACCACATCAACCTGACACTATGATACAAGAACCCTCTCAAAACCACAGGAACAGCAATTCTGACAAGATGAGCTTTAGATTTAGGCCGACAGAGCCTGAAATGAACCAAGCATCTTCTCCTGATTTCCCACCACAATCTAGACTTCCGTTCTTACCTGACCATTTAACTGACAACCCTCTACCCGCCGTATCACAACCCAAACAACCAGCTCTTCCTGAAATAGTATTTAGATTCGGTAATCCAAACGTTCACAACAATGAACCTGCCCCTGTAAATATGCCATCAAGAAATCTTGAAGAAGAAACTAGACAACGGGAAAAGATGGACGCTTGGTTTAAACAACAACAGAAAGCAGCACAACCTGAACATGGCGTTCCTCCGGTAAATACAGCAACTGCATCTGCTGGCAGTCCAGTTAGTGAAGGAGAAAGAATATTAGACATGTTGTCCAAAATGAAAGCTTCAAATCCGTCGACCAACCATCAACCAGATTTACCGCCTGGTAATTTTGCAACCCAACGTCCAGACACATTTGATCCCAATCTGCATTTCGGCGAGACCAATCCACCACAGTTACCACCAACCCAACCTCTGTCAGCTGCAACTTCCCCAGTGGACAGATTCATGAAGATTGGGTCTTTATCTGATATTAACTTCGGCAAACCAAGTACCCTGGGTCAACCTGGTACATTAGATACAGACATAGCTCCAGAACAGTCGGCTGACTTTAACGATAAACTTTCAGCATTCTTGTCCTCACAGCGTGCGCCAGGTGCGCCAGTCAGCTCTGATTCACAACGTCAAGAAATACTCAGTGTAGAACAACCAATTGCAGGGCGCCAATCACACAATGGACCACTAAGTCCTGGTCCTTTTGTAGATTCACCAACACTTATCAACACACCAGCGCTTGATGAAATGCCTCCAGTAGACGTTCTTCCTGCTAATCAAGGGCTTCTTCCCAGTGTTCCCTACAACCCTCCAGTCACTGTTCCTCCTCGGTCCTCTGATTCCTACACAACTGAGCCTCCATATGGTGTATGTCAGCAGGATATCAACTGTTTCCTTCCTGACTGCCTTTGCAAATCTGTCGAAATTCCAGGTGGCATCCATGGATCACAAACGCCTCAAATTGTATACATCGTCATGGATGGAAATGTGAACACATACATGGAACCTAAAATCAAGTCCATATTTGACGGCACTAGAAGGAATCCTAATGGATGTCGTATTTCAGGAACAATGTTCTTGTCTCACAAGTACTCCAACTATACCATTGTAAAGTCATTGAGCCGTATCGGGGTGGAGATTGGCCTTGCAGGGATGCAACCAATAAACAACGAGAATGTTTCCCTCTTAAAGCAAGATATTGACAACCAGTTGCACAATCTAGCTCAGTATGGAGTTGATACATCTGAAGTCTCTGGCTGGAGCAGTCCTGGTCTGAACCCGAAAGGGGATAAACAATTCCGTATCCTGAACAAAAAGAGATTCTATGACTCGACGCTTCTAACCGTTGACTCAGACCAGAAACTCCTTTGGCCTTTCACCCTCGACTTCAGCTGGGGTGAACCATGTCTTATTGAAACTTGCCCTAAACAGCCTCACTATGGCATGTGGGAGGTCCCAATCATTCCACTTAAGCTAGACAAGACCAACGCCACCTGTAAATATGCTGATAGTTGCACGCTTCAGCAGATGAACGTTCTTGAAACTAAGGATTACCTTTGGGACAACTTCAAGCGATATTACAACAGCAACAAAGCTCCATTTGGCATCCGAATCCATCAGTTCTGGTTCCACACTCACTTTGCCGACAGTTTACAAGGACTTACAGAGTTCATGGATGAGATACTACAGTTAAACGATGTGTACATAACCTCAGTTGCCAAGATGTTGGACTGGCTTCAACAACCCACCCCTCTTTCTGACCTCCACCTGTTTCCGTTCTGGATGTGCTGATGGGGATATGCCAAGAACTGTTCGCGTTAGCGGGTGTTGCTGACTGCACTGCACTCGCGCTCCATCTGTTTTCATGGGCTAATTACACCGGTAAAACCTGAACTGATCACGTGTGGCCAATATGGCGGTGAGTCGCAGACGATTCAGTTGTGATTGATGCTTTTCCCCATGGGACAAACGTCTGTTGAAGGCGTATGTAGTCTGGAAAGTGCCGCCGTCAAGATCTGTGAATTATCTATGAACCCTTTTCGAGTAAACTGGCTATAAAGGAATCTTATTTATGTTCCAGCTTTCTTTGTGGTCCATTAAGTGATGTACAATGTGTACTGTGCAAGAGAATGAAGTGGGGCGGTGGGGAAACCTAGTGGTCGCACTGTAGACCCGGGTTCGATTCCCCACATGGGTACAGGGTTTGAAGCTCGTTTCTGTTGTTCCCAGCTATGATGGATTATTACCCGTAACACTCACACACTTACTTTCTCACTGCCTAGAATTAGAAGTACATTATGAGCAAACACCATTATTACAGAAGAGGCGGGGAATACAAGTATTAAAGTACTGTCGGAAATAGAAAAAAATATATGTTTTTTGGCTGTTACTCTGCATCCCTAAAATTTACACAATTGCAAATAGCATATGTCGAAATAACCCACTTCGGCCTAACTGGGCGTTCAGCGTGATGCGTAATACGATATCCAGAAAAGCATGTTTACTCATAAAATCGGGCAAAACTTAGAAAAAATACGAATAGCTGCTTAGAACGATAAATCAGACTATAGATGACAATTAGGTCGCTCGACCAGGTATGATGACGGACGTCGACACACCGAACATGGAATGCACGTGCTACCTACAGGCACAAGGGGTCATCTCAAAAATATTATATCCGTTTCCTATTGATTAACATCTAGCGTGTCATTTTTTCATAAAGTTTATGTTGAGATATGTAAAATAGTATGATACCCATATACAAGCTTAAATCAGCCATCGTATTAAATGTCTCAAAATATATAGGCAGCATGGCCACCCGAAGATCGACAGGACTGGATATTATTTGTAAATTGTTACTTCCCCAGTTTAATTCCCCTAAATGATTATCTTATCTTAGCTGGTATCTCTATACCCCAGCCCGACCCCAACCATTGTCTGCTACACCCGACCTGCTTTTGCTTTTGAGACGATCCCCCATGTCTGTTTGTTTTTATAGTGGTAGTGAGACTCCATGGTAGCTACATCCTTAAGTGTTTCACAAGTACAAATATTATTTTGTACGTCAGCTATCGTTTCTAATGAAGTCTAATTTCAACATGAGCATTTAAAAAGTGTCCTTTGTAATACAATATCATCGCACACTGATTTTCATAAAGCCAAGGTCTGTTCCAAATAAGTCGACTTGGACTTAGGGGAAGAAACCCACATTGCTCATTTCTGCACTAATCTCTCCTCAGTAAAGTCCCTTATTTACGTTTCCTATCTCCCTACCACCGAGACTGTAGTTAGGCCGAACTTAGTTTAACAGATATTTCACACTTTCACATATTAACTACATAAATTGTGGTTCTAAATGTGAAAAACATTCCGACAGTACTTGTGGCATAAGTTAAAGTTATCTGTCTGCCCCTAATAAACAACATTGCATGCAGTAAAGGACGTATTCATGTTTGCTCTCTAACTTCATCCTGGTTGAAATTGATCTTCAGTAACCCCGGTTTTGTCGTAAGAGGCGACTAACGGGATTGGGTGGTCATTTGTTGTTGGTGTTATTTCATGGTGAACACAAATAGTGCAAATATCCCAAAATCAATTAGTTGCATGGGCGAATCCAGGAATTTTGAAAAGGGGTCGGGGAGGAGGCAATTGAACTCTTGATAACATATTCTAACTAGCACATGATAGATGATAGACTGACAACGTCCAGGAAATGAAGTTTTTTTACACTCTCCAAAAAGTATAACCCATATAATGCAAAACAGAGACCCCAGAGCTGGGATAATCCAGACTGTTATAATCATTACAAACTTGAGTTTGGCGTATTTTTTTTTTAAATTCTATGGTCTAGGAGCAAGAATAAAAATAAACTTATGGAGAGATGAAAGTTTTTTTTCAGTTTCATAGGTATAATAGGGAAGAAGCTTGAGTTTCCGCGTCAGGGTGTCATGTTGTCTTTCCTGAAGACAAAACCACCAATAGGAACCCCATGTAGGCATGTCTCTGCATAGCTTTCTGACACAAAGTAGTGCATCCGTTGTCAAGTTAAATAAAAACACTGGTAATGAAAATGTCAAAAGTTATGACACGGCTAAATGATAGAAGTACCTGACAAACATATTTATCAATGAACCCATTTGTCTATTTGCAGAATATGATATTGAGAGAATATGCATTTAACTATCCTGTTTGGTACCTGTGCTAAATTATGGAAACAATTCTGACACTTTGACACATCACTAACGCCTCAACGGGAGGAAATTTGAGATGAGGGGACGTACTAGCCGGTTAGCAGATACAGGTGCACCTGGAGATATAACGCCTCGTTTATGAATGCTTAATGAGATATCCCTTTCTGCTCGAACTAATACACAGATCCTAATTAATGGCACTGTTTATTAAAAAGTGAAACCAATTAGAAAAAAAATTAAAAGAGAAAATTAAACTAAGCTAAAACTTATTAGTGCAATGGAGATTCTGATATTTTAAGCAACGATTTTTCAGGAATTCCAAAGTAAGTGCTGTTTGAAGGTCACTTTAAGTCAAAGAGAAATCAAACAACAATGATTTATATTTAATTACATTGACTGACAGAATAAGTTTTTAGTTGCTTCTTTTGAAACCAATAATTGTATGAAAGAGAAGAAATTGGGCACCATATATAATATCATACAAATAGGTCAAACAGAATGCAACTTGTCAAATATATCTTACCATTTTCATTTTGCTTGCATTGTGCTGATTGATCCCGAAAGATGCGGCTGTCACATTTACTCACATAAAGATATACAGACTCATCCACTCCACCACAGAAATTACTACACACAGTAATCCTTATCGGGAGGCCCCTGTAAGAAAGTCAATGCATACCACAATCCTGAATCCTGAAAGTAAACGTATCATTGCCTTACAATAAACCACATATTACCCCCTAGAGAAATATTATAGCTTTGATTTGCAACCCATACTTAAATATATCGCTTGATGTTAATTATCTGTCATTAATATTACCCAAACCCGGACTGTAACACTCATACTTTTCTTTGAACAATCAAAATGGCGCTGACAAGAATCACCCCAATGCCATCACCTATTGTTTAGACTGGGGAAAGGCAACATACGTCACTGCAATGCCATCACCTATTGTTTAGACTGGGGAAAGGCAACATACGTCACTCCAATGCCATCACCTATTGTTTACACTGGGGAAAGGCAACATACGTCACTCCAACGCCATCACCTTTTGTTTACACTGGGGAAAGGCAACATACGTCACTCCAATGCCATCACCTATTGTTTACACAGGGGAAAGGCAACATACGTCACCCCAATGCCATCACCTATTGTTTAGACTGGGGAAAGGCAACATACGTCACTCCAATGCCATCACCTATTGTTTACACTGGGGAAAGGCAACATACGTCACCCAATGCCATCACCTTTTGTTTAGACTGGGAAAGGCAACATACGTCACCCAATGCCTTCACCTATTGTTTACACTGGGAAAGGCAACATACGTCACTCCAATGCCATCACCTATTGTTTAGACTGGGGAAAGGCAACATACGTCACTCCAATGCCATCACCTATTGTTTAGACTGGGGAAAGGCAACATACGTCACCCCAATGCCATCACCTATTGTTTAGACTGGGGAAAGGCAACATACGTCACTCCAATGCCATCACCTATTGTTTAGACTGGGGAAAGGCAACATACGTCACCCCAATGCCATCACCTATTGTTTAGACTGGGGAAAGGCAACATACGTCACTCCAATGCCATCACCTATTGTTTACACTGGGTAAAGGCAACATACCTCACTCCAATGCCATCACCTATTGTTTAGACTGGGAAAGGCAACATACGTCACCCCATCGCATCACCTATTGTTTAGACTGGGGAAAGGCAACATACGTCACCCCAATGCCATCACCTATTGTTTAGACTGGGAAAGGCAACATACGTCACTCCAATGCCATCACCTATTGTTTAGACTGGGGAAAAGGCAACATACGTCACCCCCAATGCCATCACCTATTGTTTAGACTGGGAAAGGCAACATACGTCACCCCAATGCCATCACCTATTGTTTAGACTGGGAAAGGCAACATACGTCACTCCAATGCCATCACCTATTGTTTAGACTGGGGAAAGGCAACATACGTCACCCAATGCCATCACCTATTGTTTACACTGGGTAAAGGCAACATACGTCACTCCAATGCCATCACCTATTGTTTAGACTGGGGAAAGGCAACATACGTCACTCCAATGCCATCACCTATTGTTTAGACTAGGGAAAGGCAACATAGGTCACTCCAATGCCATCACCTATTGTTTAGACTGGGGAAAGGCAACATACGTCACTCCAATGCCATCACCTATTGTTTAGACTGGGGAAAGGCAACATACGTCACCCCAATGCCGTCACCTACAGTTTAGACTGGGGAAAGGCAACATACGTCACCCCAATGCCATCACCTATTGTTTAGACTGGGGAAAGGCAACATACGTCACCCCAATGCCATCACCTATTGTTTAGACTGGGGAAAGGCATCATACGTCACCCCAATGCCATCACCTATTGTTTAGACTGGGGAAAGGCAACATACGTCTCGTGATACTGCCTCCTGGCGTCAATTCCAACTTAAATCCTGATGTTTCCGGAAAGATACCTTATTTCCCATAAAGCAAATGTCGACTGTCGATGGGGAAATCTATATGTTGCAGATGCTTATAGCGTCTGTCGCTACAGACAAGCAAGATGTTGTAACATTGGTGGCAACTCACAATTACGAATTGTGTTCTCCACTAAATCAAGAAGACCAAGGATATAAATCGTTGGTGTTGGCCTAAAACGATACCGCTCCAAGACTTCAAGAAAATGAAAGTCGTCAAGCGGATTTGTTCGATCTCGAAACACTCACGGAACATAGGTTTCCACCTGGCTTGCTGAGTCTGAGACAGGTGAGCTTCAGCGAGCAGTGCTCAGAGGAAACTTGATATCACAGTATTTTATGCTCAAATTCCTTATAAGCTTCGTTTTTTGAGTTTGCGGAACGGGTTTCTGCAAACGTTCCTTGCTGTTACACACAAAACAATCAAACACAAAGATTATAATACACACTATGTACAGTACAGTCGAACCTCATCGGGGGCGGATACAGCTTTTTGAGAAGGGGGGGAAGGGGGGCATTGCACGATTTAACGAGAGTTTCAGTGGTAGTTAAATAACACACACACACACACACACACACACACACACACACACACACACCTTCCTGGATCCGCCTATGTTCATTGTGTCGAACTCCTTCATGGCCATCAATGATTCGAATATGGCCTGCCGACCAACTCGTATTTTACGACCGCTTCCTACAACTACACTTCACGTCAACGGTCATGCAAACCATGTACCACAGTTAACGCTGCAACAATACATACAGTAGTCCTGTAGCATTAGTCTCAGCTGGATTCTTCAGCCTATTCACATTGTTCGGGTGAAGCATACACATGATTTCGACAGAAGCGTCATTAACTTATTAATCACCATGAGAATTCCGGCAAGGCACCCCAGCAATCTTTACTTTACATTTGAATTTGTTAGTTTGTTGTTTAACGCTGCACCCAGCAATATTCCAGCTATATGGCGGAGATCTGTAAATAATCGAGTCTGGACCAGACAATCCAGTTATTGACAGCATGAGCATCGATCTACGCAATTCGGATATGATGATATGTGTCAACTACATCAACAAGCCTGATCCCGTTAGTCGCCTCTTACGACAAGCATGGATTCCTGAAGACCAATTCTAACCCGGATCTTCACGGGTGCTGAGCGATATAATTGATCAAGATTTGACTTGGTCGACAGCATGTCAGCGTGACCCGACGTGTGGGCCGTTGTTTATCATATCAATCACTGACTCAGTTATTTACAGGCCGCCGGCCCCCGGCGTGAATATCGCGTGGCGTTACCATACAAACATGCACACTCTTTAACAAAAGCCAGCAAAGAGCGTAAATGACCAATAGACTCCACTCACAGTGTGGGTGGTTATGAACAAGACACTATTCAGCATAGGTACCGTCAGAAGAAGATATTCTCTCTTTCATAGTTGTCGTCCTCATTTCTTACACGAGGCGGTGGGGTAGGCAAGTTTTCCAAGCGCTTGTTCATCACGTCGAGGGCCTTGGTTGGAGTCCACATCTGTACAATTTGTGAAAAGCATGTGTGGTCATACCCGCCGTGATATTGCTGGAATCTTGCTAAAAGCGGCGTAAGCCTGTAATAACTGCACTCCATATGCAGCATAGCTCCCAGTTTTTAACTATCTTAGCGCTTTTACTATCTGAAGCATGTTACATGTGGCAGTTGTAATATGGGCCATGGTGAATAAAACGTTCGCTCGTCACGCCGAAAACCCGGGTTCGATTCCCCTCGAGAGTTCGCCATTACTGGTGTCTACTGGTGTAGACCGCTGGAATATTGGTGTAAAACATCCTCACTCACATAGTTACACAGTTACAGTATGGAAATATAAGTATTTATCATCCAAAACTGTGTTCTCACCCGAGTGTCTTTTGATATCAAATATATCACCACGAGTTGATAAAGTTACAAATATCCGAGGCTTGCCGAGGATATTTTTACTTTTATCAACGAGTGTTGATATATTTGATATCAGAAGACACGAGGGTGAGATTCTATTTATCATCGAAAATCACTCTTCTTTAGTTTTCAGGGAAACATGTACATCTGTGAACACCGTACTGCCATTAGACTTGCCGTGCAACGATGTCATAGCATTGTCAGGGCATTGTACAAAATCTACTGTCAAAATTATATCTCCTAGGAGAGCAATATCTGTCCAAGCACTATCTCCTGTGGAACACAGTTTTGGATGATAAACGTAGATAAGTTGTGACGAAATTGCGAACGTTGGCGTGGCTAAGTGGTGAAAGGGTTTGCTCGTTACTCCAAAGATCAGGGTTCGAGTTTGGTTTTAGGCCGCTTTTAACAATATTCCAGCAATATCACGGCAGGGGACACCACAGATTGGCTCCACACATTGTACCCATGTGGGGAATCGAATCCAGGTCTGCGGCGTAACGAGCTAACGCTTTTACCACTAGGCTACCCCATCGCCCCCACTCACTGAAGAAAAAAGCCCTTTGCACTTTCACATTTTTGAATGAAGTTTTGATCCCCCACGCCAGCTTGATCTGTACTTGGCTGGTATTTTTCTAGGACAGCGTTGATCGAATGAGAAACTGTGACGAGAAGGAAAAGACAAACGAGGGAACGTGTGTTCCATGAATAATAAAACTTCATAATATTTACCGACCCGTGAAGATCCGGTGTAGAATAGGTCTTCAGCAACCCATTCTTGTCATAAAAGGCGACTATGCTTGTCGTAAAAGGCGACTAACGGGATCGGGTGGTCAGGCTCGCTGACTTGATTGACACATGTCATCGGGTCCCAATTGCGCAGATCGATGCTCCTGCTGTTGATCACTGGATTGTCTGGTCCAGACTCGATTATTTACAGACCGCCGCCATATAGCTGGAATATTGCTGAGTGCGGCGTAAAACTAAACTCACTCACACACTCATAATATTTACCTCAACCGATATGTTTAATATTTGGCAAATTTTCCTATACTGTTAAAATTAAGTTCACTGAATTCACGATCGACCACTGTCGTGGTATCTGCGTCATCTCCAACCTTCAGTAGAATCATGACTTGGCCACAGTGAACCTCAACAGTCATCGTCACAGTCGTAAATGGGATGCGGTTGTTACACAAGTTGTCTCCCTTGGAGATCAATGATCTTTACGCCCACAGATTCTCCCAACCAATCGATTACTTGGGTTGCTATGCAACGGAAACTGTCAGTGCGTCATTGACAATTACTACTATTATGATAATCGTAGTGACTCCATATTGGACGGAGGTCGGTGTGTTTTGACTCGACATTTGGTATCAGCTTATCAAATCCTTATCGACAATCAACGTCCGACCTGACTATTCAGCAGCTGGTGAAAGTGTGGTGTCTCAGTCGACCCCGCTCAGCCATGTCGCCGTTCCTAGCAGCATGTGCGTGTGCCATATTTGCCCTTTCTGTCGCTTATCCCGACTACCGAGACCTACCAGAAGAACTAATCTACGAGTACCTGGCCTACCGCGACGCATCAAAAGTAAGTAAAATTACTTCTTTACGTGACAGACATTGTGATACAATCACTTAAACAACATATGTTATCTTCAAATACTGACATGGCTGTCATAAGGCAAACGGTATAAGTTCATGTTATCGAAACAAGCATCGCGCTGCATGTAGATATTGGACACCCAACTGTACATAGGCAGCATTCAGGGCGAGTAGTATGTGTAGGCTACATGTCACGAGTGTGTGAGACACTCTATATGTTGTTGTGTAGTAAGTTCACAGTTGTTTTCTGCTGTCTCTCTGTTCGGATGTCATATGTTTTCGAAGGCACTGTTTATTCCTGCTGTAACGAGGCTGGTTGTGTCGCACAGACATTGTAAACAAATGGTTTGTGTTCAAAATAGAGTTGTCTTTGATAATGTGACATGTTTTACAATTGTTCACGTTACAAACGAAAATTTAGATGTTCCTAACCGTCCGAAAACACTTGTCACGAGGATATATAGATACATATACACACTATATATGTACATTCTAAATGTATTCATATGTATCAGTACATATGTGAATCCGATGCGTAATATAGATGACAAACGAAATATATTTCCCAGAGTGGATTAACAAACAAACACCGAGCGCAGTGATCGTGTTCGTGATAACTTCCTTGTACATGCGGATTGGCGTGTGTTGTGTCGCCACAGGTATAGCGTGTCAACGCCAGGTGGGATCGGGAGGAACAGTCATTTGGGCCGATCCATCATATACGTGCGAAGTGTTACCTGTGCAGTGGTCAGAAGGGTGTAGTCGCTAGCTGACCTTTGCAGACCAGTAAAACCCGTACACTCTGTTAATAATTGTGTACGGCGTGTCATGTACGAATTTATATAAACTGCCAGCAAATATGTTTGATGGATGGTAAAAATACATGGTGGTTTATTTGATATGTTTTTCATAGATATTTTGGTCTTTAAGTTTTCGGAATTATTAGTTTGGCTTAATATTTTTGCATATCAGCCGAACGCCGAGGCAGAAAGAAACTATTGTACTGGTAGCAGGATGATGACATGGCTTGTCATGCAACACACACATACACGCACGTACGCACGCACGCACGCACGCACGCACGCAGACAGAGATAAAGATATATATATATATATATTAGTTGACCCATAAAGACACAACGTATTCAAACACACAAAATATTCATAATATTATGTGAGTATGTATGACTTGTAATGTAATCTATAAACGATGAGTTATGCAGTCATAAATATTAATACGCACCATTATAACCTGTGTAATGTATACTCGCCTATCCACACATAGATACATGTTGCTACATTTGCCGTGTAGGCCCAGCTGGAGTCTCAGGGCCCTGTGGTGAACCCCAAATGGCCGTCTTCCTCCATTGAGCTGGGTCAAGTCACTGGGGTGGAGGCTGGGAACGGAAGTGACGTGTTCCTGTTCCATAGGGGCAGCAGGCGTTGGGATATGGAGTAAGTGCGGAGGTCTAACTGATAGCTCTAAATATGGACTTATTTAACTCATCTCTTCTTCATAATATAGTTTTTTTATCAAAGATGATAAAACGTTTTATAGTTGATCTGTAAAGGTCATTCCAAAATTGTTCCCATCAGTGCTAGTCTGGCTCACAGTTCCTGAACAACATTATTTTCCCTTCCTTTCAGCCCTTTCTGCATTACTTAAGTTCTTATTGAAGCAAGTCCTTTTCAATTTATATGGAATTATTGATTTCTATCAAAATTATATATATTCGGATATTTCATGTGATGATGGAAATGTGTTTTGTCAATTATATTTACTAAACAATTAACTAAACAAAAATATTGACTGCGCCAATGTAAGTAACTAAGTATCGACATTGTTTCCCTGCATAGGTCGTTCCTTCCCAACAACACCTACGCCCAGCAGAACCAGGGGCCCATCCCCGAGGACACCATCGTGATCATCAACGGCAGGACCGGCAAGCAGGTGGCAGCCCAGGGAGCTAACATGTCAGTAGCACCTTAAGCACTTCCTTCCTTACCCCAGTAGCACCTTAAGCACTTCCTTCCTTACCTCAGTAGGACGTTGAGCACCTCCATCCTTACCTCAGTAGCACCTAGAACGGTTCCTTCCTTACATTGGGACATTGAGCACTTCCTTTCTTACTTCATTCGCATCTTGAGCACTTCCATCCTTACCTCAGTAGCACGGAGAACAGTTCCTTCCTTACCTCAGTAGGACGTTGAGCACTTCCTTCCTTACCTCAGTAGGACGTTGAGCACTTCCTTCCTTACCTCATTAGCATCTTGAGCACTTCCATCCTTACCTCAGTAGCACCGAGAACAGTTCCTTCCTTACCTCAGTAGGACGTTGAGCACTTCCTTCCTTACCTCATTAGCATCTTGAGCACTTCCATCCTAACCTCAGTAGCACCGAGAACAGTTCCTTCCTTACCTCAGTAGGACCTTGAGCACTTCCTTCCTCAGTACCTCATTAGCATAGGACTTGAGCACTTACCATCTTGAGCACTTCCATCCTTACCTCAGTAGCACGGAGAACAGTTCCTTCCTTACCTCAGTAGGACGTTGAGCACTTCCTTCCTTACCTCATTAGCATCTTGAGCACTTCCATCCTTACCTCAGTAGCACCGAGAACAGTTCCTTCCTTACCTCAGTAGGACGTTGAGCACTTCCTTCCTTACCTCATTAGCATCTTGAGCACTTCCATCCTTACCTCAGTAGTGAGCACTTCCATCCTTACCTCAGTAAGAGGTTGAGCACTTCCTTCCTTCGTCTCAGTAGGACGTTGAGCACTTCCTTCCTTACCTCATTAGCATCTTGAGCACTTCCATCCTTACCTCAGTAGCACCGAGAACAGTTCCTTCCTTACCTCAGTAGGACGTTGAGCACTTCCATCCTTACCTCAGTAGGAGGTTGAGCACTTCCTTCCTCGTCTCAGTAGGACCTTGTGTATTGCTTACCTCACCTTAGTAAGAACTTGAGTACTGTTTACCTCAGCTTTTGACGGTCTCGTCTCAACAGGACCTTATGGTCTGGTTACCTCACCTAGGACTATGTGTACTGTTTACCTTCACCTTCTGTACTACTTAAGTCACATCAGTAGGACGGTGTACTGCTTAACTCACCTAGGACTATGTGTACTGTTTACCCGCACCTTGTGTACTGCTTAAGTAACCTCAGTAGGACATCGTGTACTGGTTAAGTAACCTCAGTAGGACATCGTGTACTGCTTAATTCACCTCAGTATTACTTTGTGGACTGCTTACCTTACCTCAGTAGGTCCTTGTGTACATCTTAAGTCACCTCAGTAGGTCCTTGTGTACGTCTTAAGTCACCTCAGTAGGTCCTTGTGTACATCTTAAGTCACCTCAGTAGGTCCTTGTGTACATCTTAAGTCACCTCAGTAGGTCCTTGTGTACATCTTAAGTCACCTCAGTAGGTCCTTGTGTACATCTTAAGTCACCTCAGTAGGTCCTTGTGTACATCTTAAGTCACCTCAGTAGGTCCTTGTGTACATCTTAAGTCACCTCAGTAGGTCCTTGTGTACGTCTTAAGTCACCTCAGTAGGTCCTTGTGTACATCTTAAGTCACCTCAGTAGGTCCTTGTGTACGTCTTAAGTCACCTCAGTAGGTCCTTGTGTACATCTTAAGTCACCTCAGTAGGTCCTTGTGTACGTCTTAAGTCACCTCAGTAGGTCCTTGTGTACATCTTAAGTCACCTCAGTAGGTCCTTGTGTACATCTTAAGTCACCTCAGTAGGTCCTTGTGTACGTCTTAAGTCACCTCAGTAGGTCCTTGTGTACGTCTTAAGTCACCTCAGTAGGTCCTTGTGTACATCTTAAGTCACCTCAGTAGGTCCTTGTGTACATCTTAAGTCACCTCAGTAGGTTCTTGTGTACATCTTAAGTCACCTCAGTAGGTCCTTGTGTACATCTTAAGTCACCTCAGTAGGTCCTTGTGTACATCTTAAGTCACCTCAGTAGGTCCTTGTGTACTGCTCACTTTCACCTCAGTAGGTCATATGTATGAATGGAAGGGAAAAAATACAATTCCATTATATATTATTATATATCTATGGTTTTGTCGATGTATAAATCCTGTAACCTGGCAGAGTGGCATGTTGCAGCGTATACCACCAATCAGCTGTACATACAGTATGTAGCGCATCTGGCATCGGTCGCCAGATAATGTTCACACCCTCCTTGTCAAGGTGACAATTACAGGAGCGCTATATGCAGCCGTTACCGCGTAGAGGAAACGTCAGCTTTGACAATCGGATGAACATAATCATAACATTTATAAGAATTTATATTATCCCATTGCTGGCCATCCTCTATTTTCAAACCTGTTTAAATTCTTATATCCAACCAGTTGTCTCACATCTCCACTCACATACTCAGAAAATCAAATGTACTACACAAGATATTTAACTGCAGGGCTACAGAAAGCTACACTTGAAAATATGATTTATCCAAAACATTACACTTGAAAATATGATTTATCCAAAACATGTTGATACTTACCAAAATATGATGATAGTTACCAAAACATGAGTAGGCTGGCCTGTTACGAAACACTCACTATGATTCTCGGTTATGGCCCGGGAAAGCGAAATCTGGACCAAACCTCCTCAATTTAGGTGTCGCTTTCGCGGAAACGGTCAAGCTACAGTGAACACTGAATTTAGCGTAAATAAATACGTTTAACATTAGCAAGCCATGGTGAAGCATACGTATTATTTTCTCGCATTTGTGATAAAACATTGTGAATTATAACTGACATTTTATTTTGATGTACATTAGTAGCAAGTTTAAACCAAACTGAATATTATTCACTTTTTAATATATACGGAGATAGGAACTCGTCCAGTCTCTTCGTAGAGCATTTAGGATGGTGTACTCTTGCATAGTTTCAGGACATTATTCCAGCCATTTAGTATGGTGGCTGATTAGGGCCATGGCTTTCTCGCCTTAAAATTCGGAGGCGAGAAAGCAATATCACGAGACGAGAAAGCGATAACACGAGACGACGAAGGCCCTAATCAGCCATCATAATTTAGTGACGAAATCAAGTCTGCATTCATAAACATTTTAAGTCCAAAGTCCAAATGAGTTTTATTTCAAAAACATATTTATTCATGACATTGTTATTTAAAAACAGAAAATGTCATAGCACTTAATTCAAAGGCGCTCAATTCGTTCACAATGATATGCCCGCTCACGAGGGAAAACAGATATCGGTGGTACATGAGTATACATGAAACATCAATTAAAGTGTTTACAAACAATCTTAAAATTAACTTGGATACATTTTAAGAGTACATATTTTACTTGAAAAAAGTTGACGGAACTTTGACAAATTCGGCCAGGAACAATAAGGTTCTTTTAACAATGATCATAATTCCTTACATGAATTAATAAAACTTAAGTTAAAGGTCACATGCAACCAAAAAATCAAACATAATTAAAACACAATTATCACTTCTTCATGACACATAATATGCATTGCTGATTATGAAAAAACAAATAAACAAAATTATAAGCGTATAATCGCAAATCAAAAGTGCATGATTTTGTACTTGGGTTTACCTCCCTCGAAACGAAGCAGCCGGGATACCGAACCCAGTCAGAGCGGGTGGGTGTGCACTCAAGTGTAACGGCTGGTTCATTAGCAGATGCCGTCTTCACGGTTCATTGTGTGTGTATATATAGAGATGTTGGGTTTTGTAAATACATGCTCATTTTTTGTGTATAACATTTTGCAATCAACAGACATCATAACATGTCATGTGTTTAAGTATCACACCTGCCTGTCTGTGTAATTACATAATGTGACAGAGACCGAACTCGGGCCATAAATCAATGCGTTTTGTTTATGGTGTATAGCCTGATTGGTGCTAAGTTCAAATTGCATGTGGTCAGTGATCGCAGTTGTGTATTGAATATTGTCATTAGCAGACAGGCAGGCAGACACACAGGTGTCAATAAAACAAGACATTGAGTTTTGTCTGTGACAGTGACATATCTATATCACAGTTATAAATTGTGTCAACGCTAAATAATGACATTGCTTTTAAGTATCGAACTGAGAAAGTGACTCGGTAAGAAGAACGTGTGGTGAAATAGACAAATGAAATTATATAAACAGTTTATTTACTGTCATAACATATAAAAAGCTCGCGCCTGTGAGATATCAACAAAACATTATGAAAATAGCTCACACCAAAGCCTTCACCGAGTATTCACCAGACAGCCCGCTTCCTAGTTGCGCGAACCTATTTCACTGCGCACGTGTTATGAGCGCAGCCAAGCTGTTGAAACCCGTATTCCCCAGAAAAGTCTGGGGAAAATTAGTGAAACGTTTGAACTCCGATTTCGCGCGTTTTTTTTCATCGCGTTATTTTTCAACTTTATAAGTTGAATTTGCATTTTTGACGCTTTGTTTCGGTAAGACCATACCGAAAGGTATCAGAATCTGCAAAGTTGTGTTTTACGTTGCATGTGACCTTTAAGTAGGGTCACGTACGTGCTGTAACTTGAAGCTTCATCTCAGTTAAGCGGCTCACAGATCGAGTATTGGGGTCGTGCGCTAATCTGAAGTACGGTAATCCGATGTTTTCATAGCAATTAGCTTTCGCGGCACTTCTAGCACAACTTTTTCGCTTTACCGGGAATAGGGAATATTGAAATTTCGCTTTCCCAGGCCGACACCTGATTATCTGTTTGAAATGTATCACCATCGAATAACCATTTCTTGTTTTCTTTCATTGTAGCGCCAATAAAACAAAGGCCAATAAACATATACTTTCCCCCACACACTTGGATACCCAAGGATGGCTGTCATCTACAAGTCTGGACATATGTAGTAATCGATATCAAAACGACTAAAATGTCAAAACACACCCTGTATCATCAACAGATACTTGAATACAATGGAAATAACAGCATCGCGAAAAGCTGATCTTTATAACAGTGTCTCTGTACATATGTACATACAACTAACCTACTTCTCTGACAGTGACGTGTTTCTATACGACAGGTTCTATCTGCCACACGGCCTGACACTTGATAACCATGGCAACCTCTGGGTGACTGACGTCGCGCTCCACCAGGTAGGTCACGTGACATGGGCCCCGGACTGAGTGTTGTCAGAAATGCTGCAACACGTAGTAATGGTAAAGTCTATTAAAAACACACACTGCCAGATTGTGTTTTATGTTTATAAGATGCTCATTATTGTCATTACCTTTGCCTGAAATAGCATCATGAATTCAGACTTCAAAACAGACAGTTCTATTCAGCATTAGGCCTCGGGCCTACAATACGTACACAATTCCAATATAAACATTTTTGACAAATTGTATATATTGATAGTAAGATATTTACTACGTGCACACAAGTGTGTGTGTGTGTGTGTGTGTGTGTGTGTGTGTGTGTGTGTGTGTGTGTGTGTGTGTGTGTGTGTGTGTGTGTGTGTGTGTGTGTGTGTGTGTGTGTGTGTGTGTGTGTGTGTGTGTGTGTGTGTGTGTGTGTGTGTGTGTGTGTAGGATAACATGTGAAATCCATAGTGCAGAAAACTAAAAGCACAACAGACACTACAATCTGAAAACGTTTTGTCAAAGTCTAAGTGGAAAGAATGTTTTCCGAAGTCAGTATATAAGAATCTATGTGTTTGTTGAGAGGCCGTTCTGTCAGCATGTGTTGCTGGAGTCGTGTGATGTATTCTTTGTGTTCTTTTAAGGTCATGAGATTCCCAAAGGGTGCGAAGGAACCGGATATAGTCCTCGGCGTTAAGTTCCAGCCCGGAAGTGACTACACACATTTCTGTAAGCCAACAGATGTCGCCGTAGCCAGTAATGGAGACTTCTTCGTCGCCGACGGGTAAGGTGTTTTGACAGGTTGCCCTTGCGCGTAAATATCCCTCTCCTCAAATACATGGGCCCTTTGCCCCTTTCGGTAACAACATATGCATGGATCCTTTTGGTAACAACGTATGCATGGATCCTTTTGGTAACAACATATGCATGGATCCTTTTGGTAACAACATATGGATGGATCCTTTTGGTAACAAGACCTAGTAAACAGCCTAACACCCAAGGTGGTCTTTTCTTTATTACTACAAACTTCAATATTCTAAGAAATCTTTTAATGTAAACCTGCTTGTTTTATCAACCACTTCGTTTGTTTCAGTTACTGCAACAGCAGAATCATGAAATATTCCAAGGAAGGAAACCCCCTGAAGACTTGGGGCGAAAAGGGTGAGTACAATGCTTTAGAAAATAGAATACAAATATATGTGTAACCAACTACAGTTTTGAGGTATTTACGAAAATGATTAATTATCTACATGTTTCAACCGAGCTTTAATACATATATGTGTTGCAATGAAATGTTAATGTCTACGGGTTGGGTCAGGTTTAGACTTAGGCTTAGTCTCTGAATATATATAATTTTGAAAGTAACAAACAAGCCCATTTATATTGAAAGGGAGCCCTACGGAGACCTGAACCTGAGGAAATCTAGACTTGCTTTATTTAGGGCTTTAGCATTGCAGAGAGGGCTTGGCAGTATAGGGAAATTAATGTAGTTCAGGGACTGTGAGACAGACTAGGTCAGGTTGTGTGGAACTTTTATGGGGAACACTGCCCGCCGCAATAACAGGTGCCCGTTTGTACCAGAAGGGCCACAGGTGCTCAGTCGCTGAACCACATTATGTTCCCTTTCGCCAGGCCCTTCTGCAATACTAAAGCCCTAAATGAAACAAGTCTATATTTTCCTCAGGTTCTGACTCTCCCAGCTACCTGGAGTTCCTTTCCAATTTTAATAGAGTTAGTTATTTTTATCATAATATATATATTCAGATACTCAGTGTTAGTCTATGGTGTCCCAGCCGTCTAATGGAGCGCCAGTTCGAGTACAGTTCCAGTTAAAGACGTGCCAATCCCATCGTGGGTTTGATTCCCAGAATCGCACTGATTATGTTTCCAGATTTGTCCTCACCATACAGCGGCTTGTAGTTTCACTAGACTGGTAACGGTTTAACACCTGGATCAGTTTCCCACTAAACCAAGCTGACACCCAGTGATACATCTGAAATAGTATTCAAACTGGCGATAAACCCAACACACTCACTCATTCACCAATATTCCAAACACTTGTGATGTTCCAGCGAGCGGCAGTCTGGCGGACATGGCCCTTCGGGTCCCCCACAGCCTGGCCCTGGTGGAGAAGGAGGACATGATCTGTGTGGCCGACAGAGAGGACGCTAGGTGAGGAGAGGAAGAGGTTTAATGGCACCATACGTGTTACCTAGCCGCGAAGATCTGTAACATACATGTATGTTATATTTGGGATTACACTTTCTTAGTAAAGTACATATTATAGTACTTTTGTACACCAAAAGTACTAGAATCTGTACTTTACTAAGAAAGTGTAATACCAAATATAACATATGTTACATTTGACCACTTTCTAAATGGCATTGTGTATTTCATAGCTTTCGGCGCGAAGATCTGGGTTAGAATTGGTCTTCAGTAGCCCATGCTTGTCGGAAGAGGTGACTAACAGGATTAGGTAGTCAGGCTCGCTGACGTGGTTGACACGTGTCATCGGTTCCCAATTGCGCAGATCGATGCTCATGCTGTTGATCACTGGATTGTCGGTTCCAGGATCTATTATTTACAGACCGCCGCCATATAGCTGGAATATTGCTGAGTGCGGCGTTAGACAACAAACCAACATGTAACCCAGCACTGAATACTTCCTGTAACATTAAACACCCATTCGACCTTGACATTGAAGGATGATTTAATTTTATTGGTTAATTTTACTGAACTTGCAGCAGTTTGAGTGAGAATTACTTTAGACTGCATCAGTGCACTGAGTGCTTGCGCATGAAAAATAAATCATGCATAAATTACTGGAGGCATTCAGTTTTTAGAGACATTTTTAGAGCAATGTACCTCTAAACTGAACAAAGAATACGATTTTCTCCTAAATATTTTTTCATTGTGTCAAAGGGTATACATAATTCATGCTTTTTAATCGCAATATTACCATTTTCAAAGTAACAACAATTCTGGCGTAGTGCCCCCTCTTACTCATACCCACTCACACAAGTCCCTTGCCTCCTGTGGAAGCTGGGTTTATGAAACCATACAGTTACGTGTGACCTCACTGATAAAGTGTCTTGCTATAGACAGTACGTCGGTTCCTATGTCATATATATATCACCTTTACCTGCAGAGTCCAGTGTTTTAACGCCGGTTTGAAAGACACCACCAAGACTGGACAGTTTATCAAGACGCTGTTCCCTCAAAACGCCATCGGCAAAGTCTACGCCATCACATACGACCCTACAGGTAGGAAATATTACACATGTCGACAGTTATCAAGAAGACGGTACTTTTTCGTTTTTGTTTTGGAATTTTGATGTGTAAAACATTTCGTCGGTAGATCGATATCAAATACGAAAAGAAATGCATTGTACAGGAGTTTTTAATCATCCTTCATCTGATTGTATGGGTATGTTGAAGAAAATCTGTTTTAGTGATATAAAAATCACCGTCGGTGGTAACACAACCTTGTCAGTCCGATTTTCTGAAGTTCTATTCGTAAGGTTGGCTAATCCTGAAACCAAGAGGATGACGCATAAGGAGTGAAATAGGCTGCTAAAGTAACTGTACATATTAACTCAAAATCCATTTATTCAATATTTGGAAAGAGACTATGAATACAGCAACATAAAGCGCATGAAACCTAGAATTCTATTCTTTGTACAATCTGCTGTGGGCCCGGTGACACCAATTTGCTCTTTCCTTCAAAGAAACAAGATGTGTCAGGAGTAATGGTGCTTTAAATTTAAATGTACCCTATATGTCTCGAACCTAAGATGTAATGGTGGTAAATTATTATTAAATTAAATTTATAATCGTTTGGTCTAGAAAATGTGTTGCAGTTCTGGCGACCGAATGGGATGTGATTTTTCACAATCAGAAATGATTCAGCTTTGATTTAAACCCGGTTGTCATCAGCTGCTTTGCGTGACAACCGTGCAGGGGCCCTTTTAAGGTGCAACATATCGCGTCAGTTATGGTAATATTTTAACCGATAACTGGATGGCTTAATTTAATAATTCTGGTTTGGATTGACCGATTTTCATCGAAATAGTAGTGTTCAGATCATGATTTAAAATTGTGGACAAAAATATTATATACTGAACCACAAAAGAAATGTCGCACCGATAGCGGTTTCTTAAAGCACACACTTTAATTCACTCTAATTAACAATCAAAACGGAGGATTGAGTTCAAACTTGACAAATATGGTTAAGACATGTTCGGAAATCACATTTAGAGTTCACAGAAACAAAATCACAAAAAATGGTACAATTGAGATACCTCAAAGTCAGTATCGTGTGTGGCCTCCATAGGTATCGACGACGGCGTTGCATCGTCTGTACATGGAATGAATTAGCCGGTTGATAGTCCATAGGCACTTGGGTCCATACTCTGTGAAATGCCTGATCGAGTCCAGAAGCAGTTGTCGGCCTTGGGTGGAGGTCATTCTGTCTTTTTTAAATCTTGTCCTAGAGGTGTTCTAGTGCTGACCCTATTGTAGGGTTTGGATGCCATGTTGTCTGAGGAGTCCAATGTTGCTCTCGCAGTGTGGGCGCGAGGGTTGTCTTGCTGGAAGATGTGATTTCTGTAACGTCCAAAATGTGGTACAACGTGGGGTCTGATGACTTGGTCAATATAGCAAGCAGCTGTCACGTCATTTCCTCATCTTGGACCGAGACTCTGGAACACCATGGTGCCAACTATCTGGTTCAGACCGATTGCACCCAACACCATGATGCTTGGACCACCCCACGAGTCTCTTTCAACAATGCACTCATTGGAAAACAGTTTCACCACGCCTTCACCTTACTCTCACTCTGCCATCGACTGTCGACACACAATATCGGCTTTCATGACATAAAAGCACAGTTCTCCATTGTCGATAACGCCAATTTCGATGCTGAGTTTCCCATTGCAGTCGGTTTTGGTGGTGATGAGCAGTGAGGACAGGACTACGATATGGTCTGTGACAGTAGAGGTTTCTTCCGTGCAAACGTCGACGCACTGTATCGGAACTGAGGGTCTGTTGTGAGTCCCAGTGGTCTGGCGTGCTGTTTACGTCGCTCTGTTGAAGCGATCCTGCAGATGGTGTCGTTGTTGACATTGTGATGTTGCTGAAGGTCGCCCACTACGTGGACGTCTTGGGTGCTGTTAGTGACCTGATACCACCCCTCCAGTCTGTAGATTGTCCTAACATGAACATTAAACTGATTGGCTACCCTCCGTGCAGTCTGGCCAACATGCATTCGTCTCACGACTTGGTTCCTCTGATCTCTCGTCGTGGCATGGCGATTGTGTCAAAATCAAAATGATTTCAGGCGAGTTTGAGATCGCGACAACATTACAATTTGCGACATATTTCGTGTCCGTACATTATACAATGCAGTTCTTGATCCCTGATTCCTGGATTCAATCAATAACAGAATACATGTGTATCTGTAAAACTACTTGTGATCGAACCCTGCTTAAAGCTGCATTACTCACAGGTACTTACGCACAGTATTGTTATACTAGAGTTCTTTGAGGTATGCTTGTTTTCAAATGTATTGCGATAGTATTCTAAGCAACGCTGCAGGTTATCTGGAGGTCTGGAGACGTATCAGCGCATTAACGCCTTGAACAGATACCTTTCACCTTTTCTCTATTTGGATAATGTGGGAGAATTCAGAAACATAGGTATGGTGTTGAAAAACCAATAAGCAGATCCGGGGCATGTTTAGATCCACAATTACAGGATCCTGCCATGCTGTACGAAGCGCAAGTCTCTGGAAATAGTAAATTTTGATAGAAATCTACTCGGCATCAATAATGAAATGGTCAAGCTATTGGTAACACTATTTCTTAAAAGTTGTAAAATCTTAGTTTTTGTTTGAAATACCTTTAAATTGTAGAGTTTAAACATATCTTTCTCATCAAATGCACTTTCTATTAAAACTGACCTTTGACCTTACCAAAATATTTTTGCGATGAGCATACATATAATATTATTGTCCACAATTTTAACTCATGGTCTGATCATTCCAAAAACAACTATTTTGATGAAAAGACAGTCAGTCCAAACCAGAGTTATTAAATTAAACCATCGATTACAATATTACCATAACTGCAATGATATGTTACACCTTAAAGGGGCCCCTGCACGATTGTCACGCACGGTAGCTGATGAGAAACGGCTTTAAATCAAAGCTAAATCATTCATGATTGTGAAAAATCACATCCCATTCGGTCGCTAGAACTGCACCACATTTTCTCCATTTGGAGGGTCTGGCTTCTAGACCAATTTCATCATTGAATACAATATATTTATTATAGCAAACCTTTTCATCGTCTTTGCGCAGACATTAAAATGTGTGGGCTTGAGGGCGTCCCATTATACATGCATGATCGCTACAGAACTAAGGACTGCAATCAACTGGCCGTGCATCCTTCATGCATCAATGTTACGTTAAAAACGAATCGTCATATTATACTAGTTATAACCTATGAAAGAGTGGACACATATGTGGATATGATCATTGTGGAAAACGGCGTTTATATGACATGTTTGTCCCAGTGTACACTGCATGGCTTATTTGATTCACTCTTGACCTAAAGAAACGTGTCTACGACCGATCGCTCGAGTCTTTCTGCACCCATCCTGGGTTAACATAGTTGTGAAATGAAGGCAGGTTTTATCCCGTACATGACACGCTGATGTACGGATCCCTGGTAGGTTTATGCCCAGATGTTTCCTGCCGGAACTACTGTGATAGTTAGATCATTCGGTCTTCACAGGGCAGACTTTGTTGACACAAGTCAAACTCAGAATAGACTTCAGTTAACGTCTGAGTCAACTGTGGGTTGTGGTGTATACAGTACTCACTATAAACTTGGATGACATCATACCATGACACATAGGGTTATTTACTGCTACCCATAGTCCCTTTCAGCAGTTAAGACCGTGAGGTACGGATGGGGGTTACTTCTTAACGTCAATACTTCACTCTCTTTTGTACAGCACGTTACTTGTAGCAGTGTATACGCAAGACCATGAAGTACTGGTGGTAGTTACTTCCTAGCGTCAGTTTTTCACTGTATTGTGTACACTACGCTACTTTCAGGAATGTGTACACAAGACCATGACGTACTGGGGATTGATACTTACTGGAGACCAGTAATTGGAATACTGCTGACTGGAGTAAACCCGTTCATCTAGAAATGTTTAAAATTATATTCAGTGTTACTGCCCTGACCAAAGTGACCACAGAAGTTTGTAACACAAACCAAACTGGCATCAAGGTATATTCTGTCACTGACGGAGGCTTAGTTCAATATATATTCTCCAAGGGAAACCACATGGACTCCAATTAATATTAACAATATAATTTAGATTCGCAAATTCTTAATTGAAATGCAATGCATTCGCTGAAGCCGTGTGTTCAAAGCTTTGGTATAGGTACTCCTTGATGTCAATACACAGTTCTGCTAGCCGTTGGTATAGGTACTTCGTTGATGTCAATACACAGTTCTGCTAGCCGTTGGTATAGGTACTTCGTTGATGTCAATACACAGTTCTGCTAGCCGTTGGTATAGGTACTTCGTTGATGTCAATACACAGTTCTGCTAGCCGTTGGTATAGGTACTTCGTTGATGTCAATACACAGTTCTGCTAGCCGTTGGTATAGGTACTTCGTTGATGTCAATACACAGTTCTGCTAGCCGTTGGTATAGGTACTCCGTTGATGTCAATACACAGTTCTGCTAGCGGTTGGCTGGATTCCCCATTTACTCACATGATGATGAATGGTCTACATTTTCTAACACACAGCGTCGGCTGAAGTGAATCGCCATACAGTGGTGTTCCATTCTATGGCCTTCACTTATTGTCAGCCACTTTTATAGATTGGGTGGTCGGACTTGGCTACCGAGTTCACAACTGCATTTACCCCTCGCGAGTGCTTCATGATAGTTACAAACGTCCACGAGTTATATATGATTAAATATAAAAAAAACTAAATATTGTTAAAAAGCGGCGTTCATTTCAACTCACTCTCGCTGTTGTCGTCGTGTAGGTGATGTCATCTATGCCGTGGTGCACCCAGAGACGAACACAGACCACGCCCGTGGGTACACCATCTCCCTGGACGGGAAGGGGCTGGAGGAGTGGTGGATCGACAACACGGTAGGGATCTTAACACTGGTTGAATAGGTCTGATGAACTTCACATGGGTACGGTTTTACTTTGCAAGTAGATGTAATGCCTTTCATTGTCTACTAAAATAACCCGAGAATCATAAGATCGCCTGTGGTCTACTGGACAGAGCGTCTGACTGCAAGGCAGCTCGGCATATAACAAAAACTGGTCTGCTTGGAGTCAGCATTGAACCAGGGCAAAAAGGGACCGTTCATAATTTACGGCTAGGGGTGATTATGATTTTTATGGAGAAGCATGTACAATGTGAATGAACCCCTCTCCCCTCAAAGATTTGTTCAAAGTGGCTCGACTCCCCCCTCCATGTACAAAATCAATGACCCATCACCCCTTCCCATAATTTTTAAGCATAATATTTTGATATAAAAATTGCCGACTGACGCGCGCACACACCAGTACATGTGTACAAAATAGACGACCCCTACCTTCCCAGAACAAAATGGGTGGCACCCCCATCCCCCCTCTAAAAACCAAAATCACCCCCTAGCCATATATTATGAACGGTTGAACGGTCCCTCAGGACATACCTTTCCGTAAAGATTCGGGACCAGATTTATTAGTCTCCAGTAATCCATACTTGTCCTAATGGACCATAACAGGCGACATAAGGATGTTTTAACCAAATATACTGAACAATAGAAGTTAGGGACGGGGAATACCTTTCTACGGTGGCATGCGTTATCCCCAGATCTTCCCTGTTCGATATAGTTTGTCTCCAGTCAGGTCGTAAGTACAAATATGCGATTGATTCTCTTCGTTCTCATTGTTGAACGCATTTATTGTCAACAGCACCAGAGCTTGCCACACGACGTCTCCGTGTCCCAGGATGGTAGCGACATCTACGTGGGTGACATCGCCAGGGACACAGCAGTCAAGCTGGAACGGTCGTATCCAGTTGTGTCCAAGCCGTACATGGGATAGATGACAATATTGGAGGTGTCGGGATGGGATGTGGGATGGTGTCGGGATGGGATGTGGGAGGTGTCGGGAATCCTGCAGTTGTAAGACCGGCGTGTAGAAAAGGCTTTGAGAATAATACACTGTGAAGAGGAAAGTGGCTGTAGACGGGTGTGGTATTGGGGAGGGGAGGGTGGTAGCTGAATGGGAGAGGGAGACAGGTGCAATGCTTGAGAGGAGAGGAAATATCTAAAATGACAAACTATGGAAGCTGTTCAAGGTCAGTCAAAATATTAATTTTCCCTTAAACTGAATACAACCGTTTAAATAGTAGCGAATGGGAATTGTGATGTATTAAGGATATGCTTCTATAGTTTGTCATAATGAAGGAACGATCTTCAGTAAATTTATTTTTGTTGTTAAATTGATATTTTATCTAAACACACGCTGTGATTGTAGGTGTAGATGAGCACTTATAACACATTCCCGACAGTATGTGTCCTGTCGTTTGTTAACTGTTATAGCACATGGGATTGTCAACAGCAGCCTCACTATAATACGTCACGAAAATAACTTCAAATGTCAGTAGACAGACGCACATGCCACATATAATATAAAAGGAAGACGTAATTATCTTTTATTAGGTCCCATTGTATGCAGGATTCTAAAATGATAAAAAAATGATTCAATTTGTAAATGTTTTCAGGAGTTGGGTTTCCTGCAAAAATGACACATCAAATTAGCACTAAGTGAATTAGTTGTCCTGTCGTTGTGACCAAACTGATTGATGATGCTACAACTGAACTGTGTTTGTCTTCGTGTGTATCTAATGTTGTGCTATATATCTATCACGTAATGTCCTTTTCTCTTCTCAAACTAACAAAATGCGCTTTAATCGTTGCAATATTATCATGAAATATCGTCTAATATTAACACTGTACAATATGATGCACCGGTTACCCAACACATACATTCTGGCCATTTCCACAAAACACCCAAAAATTACACAATCTCTTATCCACCACTTACATACCACACTCGTACTTGTATCACACATGTACCCTGTAAGCTATATTCTTTCACACATTCATCTTAATTCCAGCATTGTCATGAAAAATTAACACTAACATTTCGACATTATACCAAAGCTCTTCTATATTAACATACTCACAATAGCCAATTCTATTTCCAACACTCGCAACCTGATAAGCTTTTCCTAACACCTATCCCACCTTAGCCAAAATCAAAACTTCAGCTCCAATGGTAACAGTTGATACATGTGTATACACCACAACTACTACTTAACAGCGCGGTTTTCCAGTAGTATATACAATTCAGGCTGCTACATTGTATCCACAAGTAACATTTGATCGTAACTATAGACCATTTCATCATGTTCAGCACGTTAATATCATGTGGCCGTGAGATACATGCGCTTCTACATGTCACGTTTATTTATGTTGAAATACTGTTCAAATAATCTCATGTTGATGTTGCTGCTGTCCTGTCAAAGTGACTAGAAGCATTTTCTAAATGGACCTTTCCTTGGTGTCACAGCTGTTGAAGATATATCCTGATTAAGTTGCGCTCTCAGGGATAGTATGAGAAAGGCATCTTCTCAAAAATATTTAACATTTGACAATTTCAACAGTTCAAGGCCAATAAATCGCAACATTATAACAACTTCCAATGAATCTGTAGATATTTATCACGTCTATTTTTGTTGTTAAATAAATATATGAAATAAAGTCAAATTTAAGTTGTCTGATGTTTTGTTTGCTTTGCACATACAAGTAAGTTTTGAAAGGTTAGCCTCAACATGGCCGTATGAGAGTAAATGAGGGAAATGGCTTTCTCCCTCTATTGAACAGCGGCAGTTGGTGGAAGCCCCAAGTGGAATAGACGTGGAAGCCCCAAGTGGAATAGACGTGGAAGCCCAATAGACGTGGAAGCCCAATAGACTTGAACAAGCAGAGTTTTGTGACAAAGTATCATAATATACTAAACAAAGAAACTTCACATTTGGAGAAAAAAAATACATGTATTGATAATGGGTAGTACAAGGTAGTTAATATGGGCGAATACCATATTGACCTGAAGCAGCCGCACATTTCAACTGTGGTGTGGGGTCACGTGAACAAAATTTCACGTGCCTTACCACCAAGAAGTGTGCAGAATTTACTTGTGATTAACGTTTACAATCCTAATGCTGTTTGCAGGTGTTGGGCAGTAAATGAAAAAACGTTGCCACTCTGCGCCACGGGGATAATTTTTTTTATTTCACAGGGACAAGCCATCCCTGTGAAATAAAAGAAATTATCCCCTGTGGCGCAGAGTTGGGTGTTACAAGGCTATCGGCAATATAGATTGACCAACTGGACCCCTTTTAAATTCGAACCCTTCTTCTGATACTGAAAATCTCGACTACACAAGAAATTGCACATATTATAGTACTGTGAGGTGTTTTAAAATAGGCCTAAATATAAGGGAAGCCTGACAACAGCTACCTCACATGCTTTAAAAGCTTTCAAAATCAATACTACGAAAAAAGTAAAACTTTTATAAATAAATAAAGTACTTCTGTTACTTTTAAGAACAAATAAACTTTTGTTTTTGTACTCTTTTAACCATTCATTCATATGAAAGACGTGTGGTTAATCTATAAAATCTGGAGATCTGAAAGAGGATTTCTGTCTCCTTAATGTTTGGAACAAGCGTGAGCGAGTATGGCTATTCCCTGCTTTCAGCAATATTCTATCAACACCTGGGCCAGACTTTGTAACCACATGGGGAATCAACCAGATCTTCAGCTGGAGAGGAACACTGGTTGGAAAGAGGAAATATGACCAGTCCTTAACATTACAAACAAACAAGGGTATGGTGCTGACAATTTCATTCTGGAGAATATTGGAGGTATACCGATGGTCAGAGAATCTGGCCCATCTGTGGATGCACCCAAGAGTGAATGAGTTTGGTTTTATGCCGATTTTAGCAATATTCCAGCAATGTGAGGGCTGGCTACACCAGAAATGGGCTTCACACATTGTACGCATGTTGGCAATCGAACCCATGTCTTCCGAGTGAACTCTAACCACTAGGCTATCCCACCACCCAGAGCACCTAGCAGCAGTGAATGGTTGTGTACTGACCAACATCACTGACATAAGTTGTGTACTGAACAGAACCTAGATGACAGACTTGAGGCTGTTAGGTGAGAGGAGACCTGAGGTGTCCAGAGTTTGATATGCCATGGTCACAGACAGTACAGTATTAGGCTGGGCCAGCTTCTTCCTGCACATGCAAGTCCTGGACAGACGGGTACTGGGTCGAAGGAGCGCTTGGACCTCTGAGCTGCCCTGATCCTGTAGCCTTTGCATCAATGAACAGAATACTAACAACACTTCTGTTGAATATAGGACAGATTATAAGAATGTCAACTGAATCAGTTTGTTTATTTAGTCAAAGCAAGTAAGTTTAATTCATTATATAAGTTTTCTTTTGCTCCAACAAAAAATAACTATTGACATATTTATATCATTGTAAAAACTCAATTTGAAATGATTGGATCAAGACATTCATAGAAATAGGTGATTCCGCATACATAAATTGACCTTGAAAGAAATGCAGGGGTAGCACGAAAGACAAAACAAAAGAAATCTTACATAATTGTTTGCTTTATGTCAAACTGATATGAAAGATTTCATGTACAGATGAATGCTCCATACAGCTGTTGGTTTAGACACAGCACTTCCTCTTCAGCTCACAGGACAACAGGCACATGCATACTTCTCTTGGAGGCTGGCAAAACGAGATTTTGGAACTCGATTTCGATCAATCTCACTTCTGAAGTTACAGTTCTCATCAATCATAGGCTGTTGGGTCATCAGTGCCATAATCTTTCTTCTTTTAGTTCTTGTCCCCGTTGGTACCCTTAAAAAAGCAAAACAGTAACTATTCCAAGAAAAACAAGCATCACTAAGATCTGGTGCATTTACAGTTTACATACTGGCAAGTAGAGCTGCAAAAATCCACTGAGGCAATTATGACTTTCACAAATAAGTCACCAGTTGAGGTAATATTTATTATATTCAGTAAAACAATAAAACAAAGGCATTGTCACTAAGGTGACATAATCCCCTGCCGCAAATTATCAAATCAAACTTATGAAGTAATGAAAGTTTAAGATGAAGTTAAATGTCAACAAAAACATGACTAATCAACCTCTCTTAATATCTGGCTCTTTAGTGTTTCAAACACACACATATTTTCAAGACTGACTTTGACCTTGACATGAATGTCATAGTGTATGAAATATTCAAAGCTAGTACTAAAGAAATTGCTTATTGAAAAACATTCAAGAGAAGTCTTAAAAGTCTATGAAGATAATCCAGTGTGAAGGTCACCAAAACTGACTGGGCCCTGGGCCTTCCCTAGATGAAGGTTGGTGTCAAATATGAAGAAAATCCAGTGAATATTTTGTTCGATATCTTGCTGACTATCTTAACATGCAATTTAAGATGCTGAAATCTTCAAAGTGTCTCTGTGACCTTGAAAATTAACTTGACTGGGCCCTGCGCCTTCCCTAGATAAAACTTGGTGTTAAATATGAAGAAAATCCAGTGAAAGGTTCTTGAGATAGCTTAACATGCAGGTTTACATGCTGAAATCTTCAAAGTGTCGTCATGACCTTGAAAATTAAGTGAAGGTCACCAAAATCGACTGGGCCTTGCGCCTTTGCTAGATAAGCCTTGGTATTGAAAATGAAGAAAATCCAGTGAACGGTTCTTGATATAGCTTAACATGCAGGTAAAATGTTAAAGTCCCCTTGTGACCTTGAAATGAAGGTCACCAAAACCGAGTTGGACCTTTCTTATACTTTGATGAAACTAGGTACCAAATATGAAAAGAATCTAGGGAACGGTTCTTAAGATATTCCAATTCGTACGTACGTACGGACAGACGGACGGAGCCTAATACTATATCCCCCGCTTCGCGCTAAATGCGCGGCGGGGAATAAAAATATTCTTTGACATGTTTTGAGCATGCTGACAGTGTTACATTATCAGAGAATGACCAGTGACCACATGGCTTCAAATTAAATAATGCTGACTATCATCATAACTGGCTTGGCTATACCATATTTTGCACATCTCACTTTATTTAAATCAAGTAAAGACACATTTTTATAAAATTCTTGAATATTCAATTCTAGTGATCACAAACTGAACTGAAGAAGGAACGAGTTTTCGCCACTAATATGGCAATGTCCCCCACCGCTAAGAAGAATGAAATATTTATAACATATTTACTATTTTATATTTTTTTGGTCACATACAAGAAATGACTGGTGTCTGGGTAATCTCCCAATGTAGGCTGTCACCAAGTTTGAAGACATTGGGTACAACAGTCCATGAGATATCATGTTAACAAGAATCGGGACGTAGGTACGGACGCTGCTGAATACATATTCAATTCATCCAATATGCAAGTCCTCCTGGACAAGTCATGAATATTCTGACGCCAAAAATATATTGCAAAATAAAAAATGTCAACATTCATATTATTGAATCATTGGAACAGCCAGGTGGTCGAATGAGCAAGCAAGAAATTAAGGTAAAAAGGCTTTGAATGCCAACTGTTTTCTGTGAAGAGTCATTTTATACCCACCTAACAGCCACTCTCAATACAAATCTGTCATGTAGAAATTACCTTTTTACTACCATTTGTGGTGGTTTTGGTTTCCGATTTTTTATCTCCATTCGCCACTTGATTATTTTTTGGATCTGGCTTCTTATCTCCAGCTTCAGTGGGTGCAGGTTTAGCGTCTGTGGCCTTTTTAGGTCCTGATGACATGTTAGGCTTGGACTCTGAGGTGCAGAGTTTTCTTTCCCAGCGGGGTGTTTGGGCGTACTGCACTTAAGAGCAGTGGGCTTGCTGTTGGACTTCGGGGGAGATCGGACAGAAACTTGTGCAGCTTTAAGCGGAGAGGCTTTAGTCTGAAACGGACATTGATGACAGCAAATGATAATAAACCAAAAGAAATTTTGTCATATATTGCGATTCAGGCCTTGTTTTGTTTGATTCTTTGACAGTATACAGTGCACTCTTACATTATATTTCTACCTGCAACGGTGTGATTATGGTGATGAAATCAAAAAGAAACCTTTGATTAACAACTCATAACAATGATGCTCATCTATTTGGAATAACAGATTTATCAAAACACTCAATGCTGTGTTTCAGTTCAACTTCAGCAACTTCATTGAAGTGTACAAACCTGTTCTTTGGCACGAGAGGAGTCGACGCCTTTAGCGGTTTCGGGCTTTGGAAAGACAGTAATAAGAAACATTTCATTCTATTATTTTATATCACAATCATTTTACATCATCCCTAATTCAACAAAAGTACAAATCTTGGTATTATTAAATGTGTACCAAACAAATGCTCTAAGAATAACAAAGAGGGACATCATCTATAGTCCAACCATAGAATTTTGGTCCATGGTGACCAGAGTAGTTTTGTTAAAACCTGACCTATGAGGTGAGGTGAGGTGAGGTGAAATCTCTAACCACTACACCACGGAGGCAGTACCTTGACCTATGAAATCAGACACATTATACTGATTATAAAATTTTAGAAAATATGTAAACGTCTTTTGGTGGCATGGTCGGGATCGAACCCACAGACGCTCTAACCACTATCGGAGGCAGTACTTGACCTATGAAAAACTAAAAATTGTTTTCTTTGCCTTCATCTTTGCCATTGCTTTTACTGGACTGGGACTGAGACTGGATCGAGAAGAAGACAATATTAATAAGTTAAAAACTTTACTTTTAAGCAGCAAAATATTGACAGCTGGAACAGAATTAGTGCAATGAAATGTGATTTGATACTGCATTTAAAATAACCAAAGTTACACAGTGATGTGAGGGAGGGAAGATGTTGCTTTTAGGAATATTCCATCAAGATCAATCAATATGGGGGACATCAGAAATGGGCTTCACACATTGAACCCATGTGGGGAATCAAACCAAGGTGGATGTTTTAACCATGAGGCTATCCCAGTGAGCCTCTTCTTCAGACTGACTGACTGAGTTTGGTTTTACGCCGCTTTTAGCAATATTCCAGCAACATCATGGCTGGGGACACCAGAAATGGGCTTCACGCATTGTACCAATGTGGGGATTCGAACCCGGATCTTCGGCGTGACAGACCAACGCTTTAACCACTAGGCTACCCCACTGCCCTCTTCTTCAGAATGTGTGGATGAACAGAGCTATGACATACTTCTATACTGGGAGCCGGACCATAACTTCTGGGTAGGAATTGAGAAGGTCGATGGGGCTTACAAGTTGAAGAACATGTGCATGGTAGTCCAATGCTGAACCAGTGAGATGCCATGCAATGGTTTAACATGCAAACTCCACTCACAGACAATAATACTAACTCCGAGCTGACTAAGCCTTGTAGTAATGCCTTAGATCCGAGTCAGCGAGTTTGTTGGATTTAATGGTTTGAACAGATGTCGATGGCAGGTGAAAGTGATGCTGAGTTTCATACATGTATGATACAAAGGTCACAACAGTAATGATCTGGAGAGCGCAGATGGCAAACCAGAGGGTGATTCACCAGTTAACTAAATCCACACAATGAATGTCACCACCCAGTCCCTGTTTCAGCTGGGTTTCGCACACATTAATACTACAGGTGAGGTGAAATGGGGTTTAACGTCGCACTTAAGAATATTCACTCAAATGATGATGTGCATGTGTATGTGTGACTGCTTGTACTAGCCCAGACTTAAGCTGGTTTTATAGTGCTAGCCCACCATGCCGCAGTTAAGCATGAAAACCCCACTTAGACACATTATACTGACTTGGAGCCGACCAGTCCTTCTTGTAACCATTAATGCCGAGCGCCATGAACGGACCAACAAGTACCATATGTTAACGTCTTTTGGTATGACGCGGCCGGGGATCAAATCACATATATATATCACTGTGTAGTACGGTACATGCCAGCACTTTACACCTACCTTGGTGCGGGTTTTCACCTGGATGGTGCCCCCGATAGTAGTCTCGAACTCAATGTCGCTCTCTGTATCCCCTTCCCGGTACTCCTCACTGTCTGTGCTGTTCCCACTCTGATTGGGCTGAAGATAGACATCAACACAGTATCAGCTGCATGAACTGTAGCTATGTGTGGCCAACACCAGTGTTAACTAACTTTCTCTGATGGAAATATATAAAGGGGATTTTCATCATGACAGGATGAATGATTTTATGTCTGCTTGTTTGGGCTGGTCACACAGTTGTACCCATCCCATGTTTGACTTTTAATCTGTTTTCCACAAACCATGTTACTACCAAACACAAAATGGTGGACTGTAAACATGTTAACCTTAGGCTAAAAATATTTTTTCTTCCCTAAGGTTGAAATGCTTATTGAATGTCAGTGTATCAAGGCAAACTGAATACAGCCTACAGCTTGACAAGTGTTTGTTGTTTAATGTTGTTTTCAAAAATATTGGCATCTGAAACGTCCAGGACAGATTATCTGCAAGGATGGCCAACAAGAAGCTTGCATAAACTTGACTCATGTGGGCAATACCATTGTTTGATGTAGTCTGAGAGCACTTTGGTCGTTTTCCCTCACTAGAACCTGATCGCCGTGTGTATCTATGGGTGTAAGGTAGTAGTGGTCTGATTAATTGAAATAATCGAAGATTTGTCGCAGTGACTAAACGACCAAGCAATCCATCATGTTTTGGTTTTGTCTGTTACATTTCATAAGCACTACAAGCTCGTTCCAAGTCATGATTGAATTTATGTTAAAGACTCCAAGAAATGTATGTTCCTAACATACTAGTCATCCTTTAAAGAGGTGAAATTTTGCACAAACCCCCCCCAAAGAAATACATCTTTTTTTCCTTATTTTTTTGCGCATTAACAAATTTCATAAATGACACTAACCAATTATTTTCGATGATTGATTGGTTGTAATGAAGCAATCATCAGTTGTGAGAGATTAACCAATTTCCCAACACTAGTGCAAGGAATGTGGTATATAGAAATCATGAAGAAATGATGGTGGCGTGATGAGGCTCATGTCACAGCTGGGAACCACAAACCTTAAAATCTGGATCCTCATCACTGACATATTTTTCAAGGTCCATGTTGTTGAGATCTTCAGTCTCGGTATCAGATTCAGACTCCGACAGAATGTCTTCATATTTGCGCTTCTTCTCATCATCCTCTGCCTTGTTGGGGCTGGTCACCAACTGCCCTGTAAGTTTCCTAGATATTAACTCATGTACACAGTGAGGGAGTTTTGTTTTATGCCGCTTTTAGCAATATTCCAGCAATATCATGGTGGGGACACCAGAAATGGGCTTCACACATTGTGCCCATGTGGAGAATCGAAACCGGGTCTTCTGTGTGACAAGCAAACACTTTGAAAATACACAATGCCATTTTAGAAAGTGGTCAAATGTAACATGTTATAGTATGACCAGAAATTATTGAGAATTTTAGGAATATGTTTAATTGGATTTCTAGTATAAACAACCTTGACCAGCTATCAAGTGCTTTGTTTCATTCAAGAGAGACAACTCCGTTAATCCTTTTTCATTAGTTTGTGAAAAGTTATCCCCCTTTGTTTACTTGCTAGCAGACGACATTTTCAGTGATCCTCAGTATAGATGATTTAGAGAAGAGGAAGTTGATTTTAGAGTATTATAACAAGGACATCAGATCAGCTAAAGTGATTTCAAGTAGAACAGGCATCCCTTTGTCCACTGTTTATCGTGTTTTGAAAAATATTGCAAATGGATATGGCACTGAGCACCAGGGAAGCGCAGGTAGGCCCAGAAAATTGACTGTCGGTGACAGGAGGCGGCTTGGTATTCTTGTTTCTAAAAACAAACGAAGGAGTTTAGAAAACTTAAGGCTGGATATGATTGATAGAGGAACTGTGGCTGTCTGTAAGGAGACAATTACAACTGAGCTGCATGCAATGGGTTGGCAGAAAAGTCGAGGAATTCCATCACCGATCATGAAACCTGAACAAAAGGAGCGAAGGTTGAACTGGTGCTTACAGCATAGAAATTTTAACTGGGACAATGTGATTTTCTCAGATGAAAGTTCTGTGTGGCTGTTTCATAATACACTGAAATTCTGGACCAAACAAACTGAAAAACCTTTGTATCAGCGCCCAAAGTACAGTCCGAAATTTAACGTGTGGGGTGGCATATCTGTGTTAGGGGCAACGCCCCTCTGTGTATTTGAAGGGAATATGAATAGTGAGTGGTACACAGATATTCTAGAGGGACATTTACTTCCATCTGCTCACGTGTTCTATGGAAATTTTTTGATTTTCCAGGAGGACAACGACCCAAAACATCGTTCGAAGCATTCACAGGCCTGGTTTCGGACCCAATATATGACATTATTAGATTGGCCAAGCTATAGCCCTGACCTAAATCCAATAGAAAATGTTTGGGGACTTATGAAGGAAAGTGTCAATAAGAATAATCTGACAAATATTGTTGAAAAGAAAGAAGAGGTGGTCCTGATATTGGGACAGCATGGACCACGACTTTCTAACTTCTTTAATCAGTAGTATGCCCCGCCGCATTGAAGCCTGCATTGCTGCCCATGGTGACTTGACAAAATACTAACTGTTCACCTGTCTTTGAATCTGGAGTTATGTTCTGCTAATATTCACATTTAATACGTGAGTAATGAGTGAATTTTTTTTTTAAAATTACAAAGAGAAAGAGAGAGAGGAGAAAAGAAGAGAAAATAAAAAGAGCGTTATAAATCTGAAATCACATGCTAAGAATGCGTTTATTAAATTTATGTCAGTTTCCCAGAATTTTGGAATTTTAACCCCGTAAAATATGTTTCATATTGTTTGATTCACAAATCCAGCTGATTGTGCTTCATAGAAGAATATGTTTGTTATGTAACCCAGCTGTAGAAGATGAAATTCACTTTGCTTTTGTATGCCCACATCATGGTGATTTAAGAAAACAATACATCCCAAATAATTATCTGTAAAAATATCCTTCAAGTGACTTTGTTTCCATTCTATCCTCCAAAAATGAAAGTGTAATATGTAATCTAGAGCTTTATGTTAAACATGCTGTTATGCTTAGAAGCAATCTCTTATCTGAACTGTAATTTATTTCATGAAATATCTGTAACATGTGCTGTATGTATAATAATAATAATAATAATGTGTCCATTTATATAGCGCCAAACTCCACACTAGGTATGCTCATAGCGCTAACAATCAAGGCCATTATTACCCGGATAACCCAAGCTGCCTGTATTGCCTGTATATGGGCCGGAGCCCTTAAGTACAATAAGCATCTTTCACTTTGACTACTACCATACCTGATTAGCGACATTCTGAGTCATTTTTCCCTGACCAAAACCCTAAATTTCCCTGACTTCACCCCAAATTCCCTTGCTATTGAAAACATATAAAATTTCCCTGACTTTCAGAGAAACGCAAAATTTCCCTGACTTTTCCTTGACCTGTGGGAGCCCTGTAATAAGGAGTCAGGAACCAGCCATTTGGTATTCAGTAGCTGGGGGAGCAAAAAGTATGTTGGAAACTCAATATATCACAGAGACCTCTATAAAGGAGTTATTACTTTAATTAAAACTACATGCCAAAATATTGTTTTTTAAAAACACATTGCAAAGAACATCATGTTTGTGGCGGATAATTATTCAAACAAACAGAAGCATATTTATTTGTCAGACATTTTGTCTGAGAAAATTACTTTTTTTTACTTCCATATAAACATGAAATGGTCAGTCCCTTACGGTGCCCATTAATCTGGGGGAACGTAATACGGCCTCAGACATAACTTGATAATAAGTATATATGATGAATACATATGATGAGTACATATGATGAGTATATATGATGAGTAAGTATCAAACCTTTGCTGTGTCCGCTAATATCGATATGAAACTTGCGTCTTAGTCCTGGCATCAGTTCTGCCAGGCCGAAGTAGTTAATGGTCCTCTGAAACTTGCTTATTAATCCAGATTTCATCTTCTTACGTGGCGACACCTATCAGAGATAAAACACTAAAACCACATCTTTCATAATTTAAGTTTAGTATAAAGAGTAATAATAAGAGTAATTAATAATATGCAAAAACTCACAAAAACCAAGGTGAAAATATAATGTCAACTTCTTGCCACTACTGCATGTTCGTTTACCTAAGCAACGTTTCCGCACCTGTATTTGAACACTGCAGTTACATATTTAAGTTACAGCACAACAACCTGTTAATACTCTGGTCTGGGATGAGCAAATGATTGATGTTCCAGGCTCCAGGGGTATGGCATACAAGCAACAAGGCCACAGAGCCTGGGCTCTGTTCCACTAAGTAATCATAGTGCTACAATAGGCAAAAGTCTATGCTAATGTATCAGGGGTCCAATTTTTCAATCTCGATTGGGTATCCTAATTTTCCTTTCAGTAACCAAATAAATCGTACTCATATCACTAACTAAATTGGGTACTTTGCAATTTTCCATTAATTTTTAAAATATAATAAAGTTTAAATGTTATTGTTTGTTATTTATATTTTATCTGTATTATGAGAAACTGCAAGTTGTCAAGTTCATTTCCTGAAATAAAACCTCTCAGTAAACCTCAGTTATTTTATCTAACCCCGGTACGCAAGCTAAGATATGACAGTTTTGTGTGCACGCATGCAAGATCAAATTTATTAAGTATTTACAAAAATTCAAGCGTACTTGTACGCAACAGACTTCATAGGAATTGAGTTTTCACATAAATATTTGCATAACTTACGCAGATACGCAGCTTACTGTACCTGTGTCACCTGAGCACTATGATCTCTGAGGAATAGGGCCCTGACCACCAGAGCCAGAGTTAAACCTGTTATGACAAACATGAGATACTCTCAGGACCCAGTATCCCAACAGGGTCATTCTGTTACAGAAATTTCATCTACCTTTCTCCTAGACTGTATTTCAGTCTGCTTTTCTGGAGACAGGCAGCCATTCTTCTTGGAGTGGTCAGGTGCATCTGCTAAGTCATGGAGGTAGGTCTGGACACCTTTCATTAAATAGACCTACAAGGATGGTACATCATGACCATGTGTTCATATGGCATGTCAAACGTCAAACCGATACAGGTGACAATAAGTGGCCAGAAAGCCTAATACTTGATCAAGTTGATGGAAACAAATGGGTTTATCTACAAAATTTCAGCAAGGGGACAGGACTAGTACAAATTTCTGAATATCCCCATTGTCTCAACACTACAAGAACATAACCTGAGTTCTAACATGCTCCTATTTCAATCAAACAAAGCAGGACAAATTCATGTCAATCATTGTTTCAAATTAAAAGGGCCAAAAAACATGATGAAAGAATGAAAGAAGATACATCTTAAATGTTCTTAAGTCAATATGATTAATAATAGTGCTATTGTAAGTAAAAAGCATGTTCAGAAAAGATTCAAAATCAAACATTTCTATGAAGTGACTACAAATACTAAACCAATATCTAAAGAAATCAGCCTTACCAGAAGTTCCAATGGTTTTGTCATGATAACAAGAACTCTGAACATGACACCCTTCTTGTTGCCTTTCTCAAGTTTCTGAAAAAATAAATTGGATGATTTTCAACAAGGTTACAAAAAATCCCATGTGCAACTATATTCCAGAGTGAGTGAGTGACTATGACTTAATGCCACTTTTAGCAATATTCCAGCAATATCACGGCAAATCCATATTCCAGAGTTACATGAAAAAGTTGGATCTACTGTCTTTCTACTTTCTACCTCAATGTGTTCCTTGCTGATGACAGTGCTAGTTCCATTCTGTCCACTCTTGGCCTCTATTTGTCTGTTCTTCCTCAAGTCTGGTCTCAACAAGAACAGCACTGCCTCACTCACGCCACAAGCTCGATCTAAGGACCACATAACCACCTGACCGGGCAGGGAGCACAGCAGGATACCGACCTTCCTCTGGACAAAGCCTCTCACACGGCGCTTACCACGGTGTAGCATCTGAATACAGACATACAGAGGCTTTAGTGAGCTGAGTTGAATCAATCAGATATAAGTTGCACCTGGTTCATGTTGGCCTTTAAACTATGAATGTAGAGACATTCAGACAACACAATGATATCATCTCAGATGACATGTTAACATAGGTTGTTAGTGTTTCCCCTATAGAAGTTTAGCAGGGCACAGCGCCCTGCCCTTTCTATTTGGTCCTCTGCCCGTCTTTTAATGCAATAATTCAGGGATTTACGGGACGTGAATGCCAGCATCCTATATGCATAAAAATTGACACTGGACGCAACAAAATTTATAGCATGTCCACAGGGACTAAGAAAACGTCCAAATACTTTCTTAAAAATTCCAATCAAGTGACAATAAGTTATCACTGAGTTTGCTACCAGCTGGGTTATGGTATTATTTGCAATTTAATTACTGTAACAATGCGATGATCATGATACACAATACAATACAATAACAGTATTAATAATAATATTTAAGTGTCTGGGACCCCCATTTTGCTGTCCAGGACCCCAGAAAATTAAGAGCGAGTCCGAGGGACCCTCAAATACAGGACTCAAGGTAAATACCTGATATTTGACATTAACACTTGATGGGGTTTAGTTTCTACTTCATGCTGAAGTTAAGCAAACTAACTGTGCTCATTGAGCCCTGAAGAATCATATGCATGGCTAACTTAACATGATACTTGGAAATCTGTCACTGCATGCCCTTTTTGGAATAGTTGGTCCCTTTTGAATTCTCTTGCCTTTCCCTTTTTGGATAATGGAGGAAACACTAGGCATTAATTGTTAAACAAAGCTACACAAACACAATTCAATGTCATGGTAAACGATATCACTGCTACAAGAACATGCTTTGATTCCTTGTCTGCCAAACATGGAAGTTCTTGCTAGCTTCCTTCCAATGTGTCATCTAAAGGTTTCAGTGACACACAAATCAACAGTAACCTCAAGGCTTCTTCAGTGTGCTTGGCATGATCATAAAATGTAAAATGAAGCACTAAGTACCAACATGTTATCTTTGGGGTTACACTATCTCAGTAAAGTACAGCGAGTGTGTTTAGTTTTCAACCGCTTTTAGAAATATCACAGCAGGGGATGCCAGAAATGGGCTTCACACATTGTACCCAAGTTGGGAATCAAACCTGGGTCTTTGGTGTGATGAGTGAACACTTTAACCACTAGGCTACCCTACTACCTCCAGTAAAGTACAGATTCAACAGACGCTGGTGAAGTGAAACCTTTTCTAGTACTAAAAGAAGAATTTAATCTTCATGAAACATATCTCATATATTTTAGATTTTTGAAGTACATACCTAAACAATACCTTAACCTTGCTAAGGCAACGCCTCATTATGATGAAATAGCCAATACTGACTGTACTATTCTTAAACAAATATGTAACCCAGCTGACTGTAAATTTGTCTACTCACATTTATGTGATAATCACACAATATCATTGGATAATCTTCAACTCAAGTGGGAATCTAAGCTTCATACTGTTTTATCCGATACTTATCTTGCTGACTGTTTTACAATGATTAACGCTGTTACCATAGAGAATAAAGCTAGGAATTTTCAATTTAAAATAATGCACAGAATAGTCTCAACGAAGTCATTTCTTTGTAAAATAGGTATTAATCAGGATGACATTTGTACTTTATGTGGCAGAGAAATAGAAACACTCGAGCACTTATTCTTTTTATGTGAGAAAACTAAGCATCTAATCTCGCAGTTTGCAAACTGGTACAATTTGAAGACTGGCACTCGCCTCAATATTGATAGCACAAAGTTTTTACTGGGGGACCCTGAGGCAAGTGTATTATTGAACCACATTTTTATCATTATCAAGCAATATATCAATAAAACAAGATATACCTCAGCGGAATTAAATTTCAATCAACTATTTTATTTTATAAAACATCACTACCATTTGGAAAAATATATCTTTGGTGAAGATCACTCAGATTTCAAAAGAAAATGGTTATGTCTCTTTCAAAATGATTAAACTAACAAATTGACATAGTGAGGTTTTCTAGGCCGCACTCTGCACTCTTTCATCTTTTCTTATCCCTCTTTCCTTATCTCTCCTTTCTTTCCCATCTTTATAAAAAAAATTTGCATATGTTGTGCATGTAACGCGAGGTAAAGAAAAGAAAACAGCAGAATACAGGCTTCCACCATCAATTTAAAATAATGTTTGAATCCGGAAAATGTATACTGTAAATACTCGTGAAATGCGTTTTCTGTAATATTTGACTAATAAAAAAGAAAGAAGTATATTTCTGAGCATGTCACATTCGGATTCGAATCACCCATTCGCCAACCCACAAAAGCAGCAATCTAACGACGCATCCTCCACTAAATGGAAGTCTGACAACTGGTAGTCTAGATCACATGCTTACTGTATCCCTCTTAGTCTGTCTCACAGTCCCTGAACCATATTATTTTCCCCAATGCTTAGCCCTCCCTGCAATGCTAAAGCCCTAAATAAAGCAAGTCTATATTTCCTCAGAATCTCTGGTCTCACTGGGGCTCCTTTTCAATTTAAATGGGTTTAATGGCTACTATCACAATTATATATATTCAGGGACTAAACGTTAGTCTATATCCCTCTGACAAGTGTAAATTGGCACAGCTCCTATGACCACAGTTACGAATTCACAATGCCACTAACTACATGATGGTGATATCAGAGCACAATGGTCAATTACACTCAATACTAGGAATAGTCATGTTTGTTAAAGCATACAGAGCTCAAAGTTTTATAAGCAGAAAACTTGAAAGAACCTATTTCTTTGATTCTATCATTCATCACAGCGTGACTGATTAACCATAGTGGTAAAAAGGAAAGTAGCACATAATCTGATCAATGCATAGCTGCCAATGCTCTCGTCTTTCGATTTCACTTTCATAATTTACCTTTCTGGATGACACTATTACAGCGGACCACGTCTGTGTTGCTCTCACAGCAGCTGCAGCATATATTGTGTCAACCCTTGGCACTACAAACATAGAAAATTAAAAAAGCTATTATGTCTGCCAACAGTTTGAGTCTTTCTGAAACTTGTATTTTTATAGAACTATGTCCCACATGGTTAATCCTGGCTGCAACCACAAATCTACAAACACAATGCTGTGTGAGAGCAAGAAAAATACATGGATGTAGGCTAACTGCAAATAATCAGGTTATTTCAGTAGCTGATAGTAGGCTACAACATTTCTACCGTCGGTACAAGAAGCTGCACAATCAAGCACTTCACTAATTGTTCAAAGCATTCTTCCTAGCAGGGTTGGTAGATTGAGCAATGGTTGTCAGTTGGATTGCCAACCACATCATACCGAAAGGTGTTAGTGAGCTTAGTTTTACATCACTTTTAGCAATATTCCAGCAACATCACGGCAGGGCACACCACAAATGGACCTCACACATTGTACCCATGTGGGGAATAGAACCTGTGTCTTCTGCATGATGAGCGAACACCTCAATCACTAGGCTACACCACCACCAACAGGTGTTAAAGATGGTGTCGGCTCAGGAAGTCGACCTTTGGATTTTTTATAAGGCTCCTGTGTTATTTGGGGGTATTTGGGTGTTATTTTAGCACATGTTGTTACAAGGCTGCTGGTTGTGAATACATCGCACACAAAAGCCGACCGTGTCAAAACTTGCATATAAAATCGAATTTGTTTAGGTGAAGGAATTTGAATAAGTAATATTATATTAAATATACTAAATGATATACATCTCATCGATAAAACATGCCTGAAAACCAATGCTGCCATGACCTTGCAGACTACATCACCAGCTTCTGGGTGCAAGGGGATCTTCACAGATCGCAGTAGAACCACCATGAGGATGAGGGCCCACGAACCAATAACCACCTGGAAGGTTGGCATTCCCGCCTTCAACGCACCATCGGCACGGCTCACCCCAACATTTTTTAAATCATCACGTTCCTGCCCAGGGAGCAGTCCAACACTGAACACAAGTTGGTACAATATGCCAGAGGCAAAACCCATGAAACAGACACCTGGAATGTCTGCGTCAAGAACTCAGACACAATCTACAAAATGGAATGTGAACTGTTAGACAATTTGCTGATTCAGAGTCATCTTTTACACCTTTAATAAATATTAATAATTAATATGTACTTGTATAAATGTATATTTTTGTACTACTATGTATTTTATTTTATGTTTTATATTTTAATAAATATATATACTCGGTGAACTGAGATTGAAATACAACACATCTTTATATCTTTTCTCATTAGGTGTGCTCTCATCCGCATAATCCAGATTGTCTCTATAATCCAATGTTAATTGCTAAAATGTCGAAACGCCCAGGACGTCGACCTTTTTTCTTCACTCATCCGTGATGATTTGACCAAAGGTCAACGTCCTGAGCCCTAACTGCTAAAGATGGTACTTTATGTTTCATTGCTTTGGGCTCATTATTACCCTAGTGTAGCAGGCCATTTCTTCCCCGGTCTAAACTTTCCCCAGGGAGAATCTTTGGTATACCCCTTATCAAATATTGACTTTTGAATATAGAATAAGGCACTATAGTGGAATGACAGATGATCCAGCATTTGATATAGATATTGTGTTGATGTTTACGTCTGCTTCCAACTGTTAAGTTGACGTGGCCGACATGGATGTCATATTTAAAGCCATGAGTGAGGGAATAAAATTTAAATGGATATGGACATCCAAGTAAAAACTGGGTATTTAGTTAAAGTTTATTTAGTTACAGTAATGATTTTGAGATAAGCCAATTTGGAGTAAGTGGGAATAAGTAAATTATTGAAACATAAAAATAAGTAAATGATAATATAAAACAATAGTATTGATATAATATGTTTGCTTTTCTTTTTAATCTCACCTTATATAAGGACATATAATGTGAACCATGTACATGTTACATATGAAGATGATGATGACCTGACAATTGTTAATGAAACTTGACATCCACATGAATATCTTATCAATGTGTTCAAGTGAATAGCTATGTCCTGTTTTCGTTTCTGAAATAGCCTAGCTTGGCCAGAATCTCCCTCTTTCCCACAAGGGTTTGACACAGGTACCCTTTAAAGTTGATTCAAGGGTAGGGAGAAAGAAGAGAGGGAGGAGGAGAGAAAGAGGAAGGGAAGGAGCAGAGAAAGAGGGGGAGAAAGAAGTTTGGACTAGGCTAAAGTTTCCCCGAGAAAGGTTTGGCCAGGGGGAAAGTTTGGCCTGTTACACTAGTAACATGATCAATTAAATAAAATTACTCATCAGTTTTAGTCAGTATACTGTGTTAAGTCTTTATGGGTTTGCATTATAAAATTGGCATAGCAGATAACTTCAGACCAGTACAAGCAGACGATTTTGGAAAGAATTCTGATTGTCGCTGGCACTTGTTTCATGGACTAGTTTAGGGTTGGGGTTATCTAGCCCTGACTTAATTCATAGCTAAGTCACTTTCATATTTTTTTAATTAATGAAAATAACAAATGTTATTAATTAATTAAGTGGCCGAGACAGTTGGTAGTTTTTCCAAGATTCTTAGCCACCACCAATATGCATTGACCTTGAGTGAGTGAGAGTGAATTTAGTTTTAAGCCACTTTTAGCAATGTTCCAGCAATTGTCATGGCAAGGGACACCAGAAATGGGCTTAAAATATTGCATCATGTGGGGATTCAAACCCGGGTCTTCGGAGTGATGAGGGACAGCTTCAACCATTAGGCTACCCCCACCACCCCTAGATAATGCATTGGAATAATACAAGTTCAGATGATGTGACAATAATAGACATGGTATACACATATAAACACAAACAAGTGTTTGCCACTAAAATGGCAATGTCCGCTGCAGCTTGAGAAGAATAAAATGTAACACATACTAGTTCATATCTTTTGGTCACATAGAACACCACCTTTTGTGAAATGTAGTTTTAGTCAGGATCACTTCCCAGAATCTTCTCTTAACTGAAGATATTTCAGGAAGACAGTAGATTTTAATGTATAGATGCAGATGAACATATCCAGTCAGTATTAGTGTGTATTAGGGCTGGGATGGGTCCAAATTTTCTACCCGGGTACTCCACCTCCTATTACCCTACCCTACTTTGATACCCATTATGTTAATTCCTGACATCCAATTTGTAAGAAACGGCAATATATTCTTCAGCTCAGAGGCTAAAATTGGGTGCAACATTTTACGAGATATCATGTTTACGTAAGTTTGTAAAGTGGTCAAAGTGTCACGGTGACCTTGAAAATAAGGTCAAGGCCACCATAATCGAGTGGTGTCTGTAATCCCCCAATATAGGCCATCAACAGTTTATGAGATATCGCGATAAGAATCAGGAAACTGAAACTTAGTACCCCATTCCACATTACTCAAATATGCTAAGGAAAACCACTTCAAATGTTAATTGATCAAATTGTGTGCATCTGCTAACATGAAAACAAAAACAATACTCCATGAAGACAAATAAAATTATCAAAAGTCTGTTTATCAGAATGGCGACACACTATGACCAATAATCAGACAGACCACCACCCGTCAAATGAAAGCATCTGAAGAAAACATTGATTATGAAAAAAACATTCATTGTTAAAAAACACATCACAGAAGAAATCCACATGTGATCACATTCATCTACATGATTCCAGTAAAAACATTGCAAAGTTCCAGTGGAGCAGCCTAAAGGACACATTGTTGTGTCGAGAAGGTGATCTGTTCTGAAGTTTGTTCCACATGCTTTTGAGACCAGACTGAACACTCCATGCAGACAATGGTCTCCTGCTCAAAGGAGGCATGAACGACTATGGTCCTGTGTTATCGTCGATGAGGATGAACTGAATACAGACAATGGTCTCCTGCTCAAAGAAGACATGAACGACTATGGGCCTGTGTTATCGTCGATGAGGATGAACTGAATGCAGACAATGGTCTCCTGCTCAAAGAAGACATGAACGACTATGGGCCTGTGTTATCGTCGATGAGGATGAACTGAATACAGACAATGGTCTCCTGCTCAAAGAAGACATGAACGACTATGGGCCTGTGTTATTGTCGATGAGGATGAACTGAATGCAGACAATGGTCTCCTGCTCAAAGAAGACATGAACAACTATGGGCCTGTGTTATCGTCCATGAAGATGAAGTGAATGCAGACAATGGTCTCCTGCTCAAATGAGGGAAGGACAACTAAGGTCCTGTGTTATCGTCCATGAGGATGAACTTAATGCAGACAATGGTCTCCTGCTCAAAGGAGGCATGAACGACTATGGTCCTGTGTTATCGTCGATGAGGATGAACTGAATGCAGACAATGGTCTCCTGCTCAAAGGAGGGAAGGACAACTAAGGTCCTGTGTTATCGTCCATGAGGATGAACTTAATGCAGACAATGGTCTCCTGCTCAAAGGAGGCATGGACAACTATGGGCCTGTGTTATCGTCCATGAGGATGAACTGAATGCAGACAATGGTCTCCTGCTCAAAGGAGGCATGAACGACTATGGGCCTGTGTTATCGTCCATGAGGATGAACTGAATGCAGACAATGGTCTCCTGCTCAAAGGAGGCATGAACGACTATGGGCCTGTGTTATCGTCCATGAGGATGAACTGAATACAGACAATGGTCTCCTGCTCAAAGGAGGCATGAACGACTATGGGCCTGTGTTATCGTCGATGAGGATGAACTGAATGCAGACAATGGTCTCCTGCTCAAAGGAGGCATGAACGACTATGGGCCTGTGTTATCGTCCATGAGGATGAACTTAATGCAGACAATGGTCTCCTGCTCAAAGGAGGCATGAACGACTATGGGCCTGTGTTATCGTCGATGAGGATGAACTCTAGTCCCATTGAACCAGCAAACTCATGTAAATGTCGAGGAGTTGGATCTCGATAGTGTACAAAGGCAAAGGCTTGATCTCCATGGCCCTAGAAAAGGCTCACAAAGAATAGGATGTGTCTGAATAGAAAATTGTTAACACCACAAACTGTTGTTCATGTGTTATTGAGTGTGGTGACAGTCACGGATGTGAATCAGGAAAAACATATTCCCAATGTGCAGTGGAATGCTGCTCGTCACTGGGTTGATGCTATGGATTGCATGCAATGCTTTCAACCTGCACCTTTCGCAACATCTCATTTGTGTTGTCAAGTTTCAGGCATGCTTTGGCATCGGCCTTTGATGCACAACACTCCATTCTGTTGTTGCAATATTCGACAGCAAATGTTGCTGTGTGCTCTGATAATTATAAACAACGATTCGTCACCATACATTTAAAAAAATGATTTACAAGCACTTCATGCCCATGACTGCAAGTTAAACTGAGGTCCTGTTAGGGTTACTTGATCATGTTGTACCAGAATTCAATTTGTTGGGTCAGATTTATATTATAAAATCTTGATCTCTAACAAACTTTGTGTTGTACAGGTTCATATGAACTTGCCATTTCAAATAAACGCTTTTGGTACTTATGTTTTGTTTACAAAATGACATGCTATTATAATTTTGACATATTAGGCCCTGCACTACAGAAGCTGGTTATCTAAAGCACAGGCCCCCACTGCGTGTCAGAAAACCGATAAACTAAGCCCTGGTTTACTATCCAGCCCCCCTACTACAACCCGCAGTGGGGGCCTGTGATCTAAAGGCATATTTTTAACAATTCAATGACAATGCAGTAGTTGTTTAATAACATTTTATTTGCTACCAGTGCTAAGTTTAATCTAACATGTGAAGTAATACCTGTGGCTAACTAGGAAAATAGGTTTCTTTCACTTGCATGTCAGTATTTCCAACACGTACCACAATGAAATCATTACAGGTAGATATTTCTAAAAAGGTACATTGCAGTTTGAACATGAAAGGGTTTGCTCAACATTTTTCAGTTGTGTGTATAAATACATATTGTTTTAAAACTTGACCGTTGTATAAACGGTGTTTCCCCTATCATATTAAGCAGATCGTGTCTCACCGATTATCTTCGACCTCAACGTGAACGGCAATTCTTGAGTCAAATATGAAACGCGCTTCTTAGCGATGAAGAAAACTCGCTCCCCTCGACTCATATATCTGTCGAGCAAAGGACTCCTTCTCTTGACGATGCCATATAGGGTGACGACGAAGCAGAGTAGAGGAATGGCAAGCACTCGCTCCACAAACCCCGGCCTTTCAGGTGGCTTGTGGTGAAAATTAGGACTCACACTTTCAGATCCGACCGACGACATCGTTCACTTTGTGAGTCCAGCTCGCGGAAGGAGCCAAACTAACACGTGCGTGTCACGCCGACTTGTTTTGCATGGGCGAATCTATTCGTGCAAGGGGTGCATGTGGAACCTGACAAATTCAAACGCTAAAAGCATGTGATCCAAATGAATTGTTTGATATAAGTTGGTATTTGCATGTTTTTGACAGGTTTTATTCTCTTTGAATAAACATCAACAACTTTCTACATGAGGTATGTTACTTAGACACAATGACTACACTACCCTATTTTGGTAATGGTATCGTTATTTGTCGTCACCACATTTCGCGGGAATTTTAATGTTGACACAATAGGTTTCAGTGGGGGAAGTTGATGCGCCTGTGTGTGGCATGAATTCAGATAGTCCTGTATGCTTTAGTGGGTGCTGACCGAGACTATGGGCTGTGTTCGACTGTCTATAGTGCCCATTTGCAGACATTGTCTAGAAGAAATACGAGACTCAGCCCCAGATTCCAAAAAATACTTCGGCTTGGTGACACAGATCTAGGAAGTACAGTACACGTCTGAATTCACTCTATAAAGGAATAATGTCGATTGCAAACGAAAATCTGAAGAATGCGTTCCTATGTATTAGGGTGCGGTTAAAACTTAAACACATTTTAAAAATCGAAAACTTGAAACATATAATGACATTTTTACGGAACCTGTTCTTTTTTTCTTCAAAAATGATGGATTTGAGTTCCGCGTACAAAACTACTGTGGAGCGACCACAGAATCTCACGTACCGAAAGGGGGATTGGCAGTCTAAGAAATTGGGAAGTCCGAACCCGAATTGTTCACAGGACACGGTCAGCGACAATTAAAAACGCACGCACACACATTGTGCTTGACACACAAATTGTAATTTGGGGCATATTATTTGAAGACCACCTCCGTAGTCTTGTATACCCGGTGAGCTGAAGACAGATTCGATCCCAAATAGTAAACGACGATTACAGGTGGTACTATTTGTCACAGATCATATACCGTTATAAAATGGTCCCTGTATTTGTTAATCTGTAAGGCGTTCTGACACTGAACACCGCCGCCATATAGCTGAAATATTGCTGAGTGCGGCGTAACCCTAACCTCACTCACTCACTCACTCTGACACTTCAGTAGAGCAGAGAACACGCCCTTGCCGCCCAGATGAGACGCATGACTTGTTGGATTCTGTACTGTCCAGCCACGCCAGAGATGACCTCTACCACAGTTGTATTTTGGCCTGTCCAGATTTCGAGAAGTTTAGTAGTGAGTGAGTGAGTGAGTTTAGCTTTACGCCGCACTCAGCAATATTCCAGCTATATGGCGGCGGGCTGTAAATAATCAAGTCTGGACCAGACAACCCAGTGATCAACAGCATGAGCACCGATCTGCGCAATTGGGAACCGATGACATGTGTCAACCAAGTCAGAGAGCCTGACCACCCGATCCCGTTAGTCGCCTCTTGCGACAAGCATGGGTTACTGAAGAATAATATTCTAACCCGGACCTTCACGGGTAAAAAGTTTAGTAAGACCAAGAAAGTTGGTTTATCTGTCCAGATCAGAGGTGATTTATGTAACAGCCAAGATCGACAAAACTAATTTAGCTTCTCGTGTCGTGACCAAAGATGTGATATTTTGTATTTTACTTGAAATACAGGTTTAAGTCTGCTTTGCTATTTACACGATTGTCGCATTTTCAGAGACGTGTGACACTTTGTATTTCATTTGCAAATAGAAGGAAATATTACTTGGTCGTTGAAGTTCGAAAATTGTTGCATGAGTGACAAAAATAAGAAAGTAAGATTGTTTATGGATAACAACTTCTTTTCTTATATATGATGCGACGTTTCGGTATGGATTCTTATACCGCTGTCAAGCAAGTATAACGGTATAAGAATCCATACCGAAACGTCGCATCACATATAATAAAAGAAGTTATCCATAAACAATCTTACTTTCCTATTAGTCACCAACTTCTAAATGCCAATCAAACCTTATATGGATTTCTAACATAATTATATGTTACCGTATATATTTCATGGAAAACAAAGGCGATGCTTGTGCCACCTGGATGGCAGTTACACTCATCTTTTCGCGAACACCCGGTATTGTCACTATATGAAATAGACTCAAAACATATGCATCATGCGAATGGTCGGAGTGGTACAAAGGTAGAATGATTACATGGCAGAGATGAACGATTATGGAACAATGACGGGGCATCGACACAGCACGCGTGCATGTGTAAACATATCACTTGTCGAACCTGCGTAGCCTTAATATACGCGTGTCTACGTTTGACACGTTCGGCGATAAACAATCCGACATTAAATAATACATTTGAAGAGGCAAATACCAAGGGCATCGCTAACCGAAACAAACAGCTTACACTGTCGTGAACATTGTTGGTACACAGACTTCGCAATACTTACGACCTTGACCGTATGATATCAAACGAGAGTAGCCTCCCCTAGACAACGTCACCCGACCGCTAACTCTACTGTAACTGTGCTTTGGCCTCGTAATTATATTTATAAACGAGTCACTGAAACCGTTTGGAATAAGACAGTACATATGCTTGTGCGCTGACTCTCTTGTACTGTATGTTCTCTATTAACGTTATTCGACACATGAAATGGGCGTACGGGTGGGCGTGGTCTTTTAGGTCACATCGCTCTCCGATCGGGCAGCTGACCACAGTGACGTGCTATCAGGGTGTGCTTGCCAGATTCTGGTGAATCAGTGATCATCGGCTCGAATCCCAGATTTGCGCTGATACATATAAAAAATTATGGATTTTCAGCTCGTTAGTGTAAACAGGGAGACTATATAAGGTTGTAGAGTATCCCTGGTTTAAACAGCGAATTGCTGTCGGGGTTGTTTGGCTTATGATGTTTTGTTTTTGTGTGGTTTTTTTGTTGTTTTTTTGGGGTGTGAGGGAGGGTGAATAAACGTCGAAACGTAATTATCGGTGGTAACTGAATTATAATAGATTGCAGATCATCTTCATTACTGCATGAATATAGACTTGCCCAACAATCCAATCTTGCATGGGCTGTATATTGGATATATTTGGTACATGTGTCACAGTCGCTATATGGACGTCTTGGCTGGAACTGAACATGACACGCATATCGTTCCACTCTCCTACCCAGAGTTCCATGCGGCAAGCCAGCATAGTATCTCTGCCACAGGCCAGAAAAATGTGACGATTCGTCACACCTTGCAATGTCCATTCAATATAATGTACAGATTTCTTTTACTCTTTTATTTTTGACGAGTCTACACATCTAACTAAACATCTTTAATAGAATGGTTTAGTTTCACTGAGAAAATATCCCAAAACATGTAACACTATTTCGATTTGCGTAGCGATCCTTTGTTTACATAGGTTGTACGGCTCCACGTGCTGTCATCCAAGCTGATGGAGAGCAAGTTTGATATCTAAATATGTACTGTCATAGACCTTACTGTCGAAGTTGTGGAAGAATATATATGTAACAATGTCAAACATTATGAAGAGAGCGTCGAAAAGCTTTCGTGAGCCCAGTCTCTTCTTATTATGAATATGCGCGTTTGATTACAAACAAGAGAAAAGTCAGGTCACGTGATATGCAAATTAGCCTGTGGCAGTGATGTTATGTTAAGTGCCGGAGCGTGATATCGTTCAAGTGGTTGGCTGAGAGTAACCTCCCCTTTTTTAGCAGACGCTCAAATCACAAGAAGATGGATAAACTCAAGGTCTTGCTGTCGGCACGGGTATACAATAGATACGTAGCCCAGGTACGTTTTTAGGCTTAACATTTGCTGTATTTGGGTGATCTCCTTTGTGATGTCAAATTTATCTTTAGTATGTATAAATTCATGTCTAAGAAGGAAAACAAAAGGGAAGGCTTGTCACAATGATTTAGTTTATTCCCATACAATTCATGTGATACAATAATGAAACCAATATCTATACTTAGCCTCATATGATTGGATGATGAAATACAAGACAGGTATACATCACATCCAGCCCTTTCAAAAACACACAGACAGACAGACTGACAAACAGATGTACACTACACTTGCATCTGGCCCATACAAGCAAGAAAACTAGTGTCAAAGCTGAAGGCAATCAAATCATTCACGATTAAAAATCGCATGAGTTAACTGTACAGAACTTGTTGTGTAATTATTTACAATTCTCCCTTTTCCAAAAATGAAATATTATCAATTACAAATAAACTAAATAAACATGACATGAGTATGAACAATAGAATCAAGTCAGCACTTTGATAGGAGACAACTGTATGGGCAATTTGATGGTGAAGCCTTCTTTGTTCTGTTCTCGTATCCATGTTGAAATTAATTATGTTGTAACCAACAGCTATTTAATGATACATAGGAATTGTAATGTCTCTCAAGATGTAGTTTAGGGGAATTTTATGTGAAGACATAAATAATAATTGTTATAAACATCAATCCCTCAATACAATTCTAATGATAATTATCTACTTATCGAAATGATTTTCATACAGATTTATTTACCAAACAATTAAAGGCATTCTGGAAATTATTAACGATCAGCACAATTTATTTACATGACTATGACACATTCCACTGCCGTTAGTAGCAAAACCTTGACACCTGCTTGATAAATGTTATATGGCATGGTCCAGAATGTTGCTGAAGTTGTCATTGACACTATTTGCAATTAACAGTTATTAATTTATATGAACAAACCAGCCTTGAAATTCCTAATGTAAGTACAAAGTAACTGTTGTAAATGGCTCATAATGGTTGTGACATAGAACATGAAACACTATGAAAAATGATGTTAGTATTTATCAACTGTGATAACTATTAAACTAAAATAAACCTTCCCTCACCTTCTGGTACCTTTCAATAGGAAAAGAGTCATAAAAACATATTTCTATGATAGCAAAAGAAATGTTGATACTGATGCAAAATGTCAGTTCACTCTGTTGAATTAAACCAAACCTGGACAAATACAGAATATGAAATAAATGACTATTATGTACAAAATGTATGTTGGGAATAATAAAGTTTAAAAGCAGTGAAAATATCACTGATCAAGCATGTAACAAAAGTTAAAACTCTAAAATACATGTATTAATTAGCATAACTACCAGTATGTATGTTTAATACAAAATTATATAAAAAACTGTGGTGTTCATTTTCTACAGTGCAGCAAATTTTGTTTGTGTGATTATCATGTTTAATTCATATCAAGAAACCATTATGAAATTCTAAATTAACAGTAATTTTTTTCTTTTGTGTCCATGTTACATACGTAATTGATAATTAATTCTAAATATGTGGTACCAGTATTTTAAATGCATGTACATCATTTGCAGCTATGTGCCAGTCTTCCTTTATGGTATACTACTGGAAACTCTCACACCATTCCTTTTGTTGTTGCTAAGTGGAAATTTATCAATTATTTTGTAAACAAAAGTGACAAAACTCTTTCCATAATCACAAAAAAAATCTGCTGCAAGCAGAGTCTATTGTAACAATCACACACTTATCATAATAGTGTTCACGTAATGGTGGGTGGAACCTGTCTCGTGTGTAGCACTTGTCACTAACTAGTGGTGGTCCGATTAATTGAAATAATCGAAGATTGGTTGCAGTGACTAAATGACCAAGCAATTGATCATGTTTTCTCATAATCGAACACAAACAATTTTGGAACACTTGTTTGCATTTACAATATTTTTCACAAGGTTGGTTTTGTCTGTTATTAAATTTACATTTCATAAGCACTACAAGTTTGTTCTAGGTCATGACTGAATTTATCTTAAAGACTCCAGAAAATATATGTTCCGAACATACTAGTCATCGTTTAAAGATGTGAAATTTGAAAATGCATTTTGTGCAATTTGCAAGAAAACACCCTAATGAATTACATGTTTTTATCTTTATTTTGTTTTTGAGCATTAAGAAACATTACAGGAAAATTTGATAAATGACCCTAACCAATTATTTTCGATAATTGATCAGTTGTAATGAACCAATCATCATTTATGAGATTTTAACCAATTCCCAACACTATCACAAACATCTACAAAGGCAAGTCAGTTGTATGAAATAGCATCCCAATAAATAAAAACAATAACATCCGACATAAGTATTTGCTTTTTAGCTGTTATACTAACATCTCAAGTTTAAATGGCTCAGAAAACATTATTACTTCATATTACTCATATCATTCATTAACAATCTAACCTTATTTTGTTAATAAGCATGGCATACAGACAACAAATAACTTACATAGCATGTGTGGAGTGATATAGCAGAAACATTTGGTAGCTGAAAACTCATACTGTTTCAGGTGTATCATTTTGCAATGTTAATAGCATCAGTCACCTAATATCTGACATATGATATTAAATGAATAATAACCCACCACCCAGACTTGCAAAAATATGACATTTGAGATTATCTTAATATAATTTAGATATAAGCCACATGTTTACAATGGAAGAAACCATCAGTCATACAAAACATAATCAAATTTTAAAATGAGTCAGCAACTGTGATGTTTCAAATAATCAATATAATATTACTGCAATCACACCTTGGTAGATTACCTTTACAGGTTTTCAGTTATTGCCACACGACTTGTCATTACATGGATGTTGTATCTTTTGGCCATACCTTTTTCAAAATATGGCTCTTTTGTTACTATTAAAATGTAACTTCAAAGCAAACAAATAGCAAACATTATTATAAATGTCAATATCAGGGGTAAATGATGCACACTCCTTGAAAATATATTTAGTAAGATATCTGTTTTTGCAGAGGCCATGCACATAGCATTATCAAAGTATACCTGAGTTTCATCATATGCCCTTTGTCAGTTCATAATATAAACTTATTCCTCTTTTAAAGATAATGGTATATAGACTCAAGTAAGCATTAGTAAACAATTATTGCATTCTTGATATGTTATGAAATCAGTCTGAGATATGTACTCAACTAGCATCATATTTCTCTTGTGCTATACGTGTTAGAAAGTCTTATGCATCACAAATTATGATCAACATCTGTTGTACTTACTTATCCTGCTATTGCATCAACCACCCAAAGTCATTAAATACTTGCAAATTATTGAAACTTTGTATATTTCATGGTGCATTTCTAAATCATAGGAAATTGCTGTGAACACAGTGCAACTCTAAGATATGCAAGAACTAAAAGGAATACTATATTCTGGGTTCCTGAGATATCAAAACCATTCTCTCATGATGAAATGATAATGTCTAATGATACATATAAAACATTCTATATGAGAACATGTTGCAAAGTACATATAGCTTAAAAATACAGTTGCAGTTTTAGAAAAAAAAAAATAAGTCTGACAGTGCTAGGTGCAGGCCAAACAGGTCTGATGCTTATAATTTTGTTCAGATCACTTGAAGAAAGTCATTTGAGGTATATTTATATTGGATGTTATTTTGACATAATTGGTGGCATGGCATAAAGAAGAAGGTTTACTTAGACAACACATAAACATTCCAACAACATTTCCAAAGAATATAACTTGTCAAGATTGATTAATCCCTGACTTAAACTAACTTTAGTAAATCCAGACAGGTGCAGAAATTCTTTTGGGGTGCATTTGAAAATTATTTGGAAAACCAAAATATACAGTGTTATCAACACCTAGGTACACTTTATACACATGATCCACAGTAACATAAGTATGAACCAGACAATTAACTGTTACATTGTAGAACTCTTATGTGAAGATGTTTTTGTTGGTTAATCTTAGTTTTATTTGAATTTAAAAATCAACTTTCAAAATACTACATTATAACAATGAAGATAATGTTCATTGACATAAAATGTTTACTGTCTAATAAGACATACACAAATTTGTGCCTAGAGTTAATTCGGAACAGCTCAATTGGAGATTCTCTGGAAAATGAGCTGTGGTCGCACATGAGTTTCTTATCACATATTTTCGAATAACTACATTGATCAACTGAAAAGGTTATGATATCTCATAGTTGTTTTAAGGAACTTCAGATTGGATTTAGTGGAAAGTTCAAATTTCATCATGTCAATGATCAGTTAAACCAGTTTGGCAAAAAAGACTGATATATTGTTGCAAACAATTGTAGCTGCCATCACAATATAAATACAATGCTTCCTTTTCACAAATGCTTTGAAACCAATAATTAAAAATATGTCAAATACTACAGACCAGAGATGCCTTAGTATTAAAATTTAAATCCAGAGAATTTGATTGTAAGTATCCATCATAAATCTGTTACTATACAAACAATAAATACACATAGATAAAGTGGCCAACACAACATTTGTAAGGATCACTATCTTGACTCTCAACAGTTGTTGCAGCAATAATCTTAATACTGTTTTGCACTAGCCACTTCAAGCAATTTGTATCTAGCATGTCAAATTACAGTGACCGTTTCTGGCAGGTTTAGTCACATAAAGCCAAAGTACTTTTTTAAGTTTATGTCAATAAAAGATAGAGTTTACTGAATGCTGTGATAATAATCACTTTGATCAACATCTAAACTTATTTAGTATCCATATTCCTAGTGTGACATCCCCAGTCATAATAGCTTTTACAAACTGGTTACACTGAGAAAGATGTATCTGAATAGTACACACCAAATCGTAACAAGGAGGATAAATGAAATATATGTAAGAAGATATATTATTCCTACAACTAGCAAACAGATTAAAATATGAGGTATAACAAATGACTATGAAGTATAACAACAATACTGGTGACATATAACACAAATCTGAACTAATCAAGGCCACAACAAATTAATTAACCTTTTTCTTAATGCCTAATTAAACAAGTTTTTATCCAGCCCTCCTCTATACGTAAGAATGTTCTTGTAGAAGAATGTACATGCACAAAACTAAGTTGTTGTGGCCATTCTAGTCAACATCAGCAGTTCTTCTGAGGTATGAGGCTATTATTTCTACACTAACTTAGAGTATTATTCATGTCAAACATAATACCTACTACATGTACCGGTATGGTAGGATTATGTTATTAAGAAATATGCTTGGTATGTATGTTTAGTTTTATGTTTCCTAAACCATCACAAAATTTCTGAATGGAGAATATGTAATTTGGGGAAATTATATATTTCAACTTATAGGCTTTTGTAAGAGTCTGTTATACATATTAATCTCACTAGAAAAAAATATTTTCCGTCATGGCACATGATTGGTATTTTCAGTTTGAAGACATTTTTTTCAAAACTTTTGTTTTGATGGAATACATAATAACAGAAGAAACTATGTCAAAAGTCACTATCACTTATGAAATTATCTACCTTGAGTAGCTTAATGGCTTTTCTCAACATGAAAATGACAGTATCTCCACGCGAATATACTCTATACCATAACCAAACTGTCACAACTTACTTTTCATTTCTGAAATTTTGTTTTTCTTTACATGGTCCCTAAAAATAGGACAATTCTTCCTATGAATCAAGTGACAGATATAACCTTAAAACTGAGAACCAACCACAACACAAGTCATAATAAATTAACACTGTGACATAAAAAGTGCACATGGAGAACTAGAAACACATGTGATGTTATCTACAACAGTGAATGACATGAGGCAAGACAGTACAATCAATATAGAAATCAGAACAGCTAACACTTTTGTAAGTTCCAAAATAAACATCAACTAAAAAAGTAGAAAAAAGATGGTGATTTGGATCCATTACAATACAGGCTAGGATACAGTCAGCAACACACTACATACATGATGGGTATATAAACAATGACATGATATACAAAGTAAGGCCCATTGAATGAAGTCCACACATGAGGAGGAAGATTCAATGCAAGTGTATTGACACCTCTTGGCGACACCTGAATGGCGATGACAGTATGCTTCCGAGAACTAGGATCATCTAAATATACATTGTACATGATTTTGACAACATTTGGCACTTAAGATGGAAGAAATTGCATCTTCACGCTTATATACATTCTTAAAATAATACGTCAAAGGATTCAGTTAGTTTCCATTCCATAATAAGTTGCAATGAAAGTCATGAATTCAGGCATCATTTGTGTTCCTTATTCATCTCTACACAGCCTTGTGTTAATGGTTTAGTGAACTGATGTCATAATTGTCATTAAAGATAGAGTCTTATATTGACAACAGTGGTAATGCAGTCCCTACTCTCCAAAACTCTGTCTATCAGACCAAACATGGCTCTTAACATTTCAAGTTTAGAGTTATTATATGGACTCTTCTCTACTGAGCTTATTAGACCAAACAGAATTTTACCACACTGGGGGTTTGGACAAGTGGCTAAAGTCGCAGACTGGTATCGGACGTATAAATGTTAATGTCAAGCCACAGGGTGGGGGAACAATTACTACAACATAGAACCAATTTGTCATATTTCAGTTAATAACAGTGGATATTTTAAATAAAAAAACATTTTCTAACCTAAAATCATGCATAATACATGTAAAATGTATAAAGAGAGATCTGTTCTCATCTTGACTGACCAAGGAATATTTGGCTTGTGAATACTGGATAGATGCAGGTAGTTATACACAATATGAACTCAATTCTCATATCAGCCATAACCTTTCTTCTAGATGGTTCATAGATTAAATACTCATTAAACTATTATAAGAAGATAATATCAATTCCATTGAAGTTGATCAAAATTGATTTCATTGAACAATTATTAAAGATTATTAAAATCTGGTTGAGGTATAAACAATGGGAGGAATAAGAAGAGTTGATGTCATGTCTTGAAGCTAAAACATGAAATGTTGATCCAATATGGAAGAGCTTCAAATTTTATAATTTCATGCATAGTTCTGTATTAGTCCTTTTCCAAATGGTTTCTTAGTTCTACAATGCAGCTTCAATTTCATAATGGAAGCAACTTTGTGATACAAAGGCCACTTGTCTCAGTGCTCTGGGACATAGACTATAACTGGTGATTGTCTAGGTTAATATGTTAAAGCAGATCTCTTAACTAACACATTTACTGGTTACGAAGGCGATTCCACTTAGATTGCTACGTCTAATCACTATGATTTAATAACCATGGTGATCTGATCTAAATATAGCATGCCAGAGACTGTGCCATAACCTCAGTATCACAAAGGTGAATTTTCTGTTCCATTTCAGATCCCTGCAATGCTATCACTCCCTTGAGAAATGTAACATATTTCAAATCATTTCACGATGAAATAACAGTTGCATGAAGATCTTTCTGTTTGACAAGGAATTTGTGAGGTGGTTCTGATACAATCATGTCTGTGTTTAATGATAGATAAACATAGTAAACATGAGTGCAGTATGTGTGCATGTATGTATGAAAAGTTGTTATGGTATAAAATAGCTGTTTATATAATAAACAAATCAAATTTTCACATTCCACTATGGAAAGAAAATAAGAATAACAAATATAAGAAATAATATTCTGTGTAGTCTTGAGTAACAGAAAAGGGCATAATCATGATATTTTTTCCATTTTCCTGAATAAATACTCATATTTATAAAGGATGAAAGAAAATGAAGACATAAGTTTGTTTTTCTTCACATACTGTAGCACCTCGTCAATCTAACAATTAATTTCCAGCACTATCACATGATGTCATTGATTCCTACATTAACAAAATGGAATAATAGTAAACACAAAATCTTTAATCATCCAGTATTTGATGTTCCTGGGCCAACAAGGTTAGTAGCCACACACCCCTGTATTGCCCTCTACACTATATCATCATAAATGGTAATACAATCAAACACAGACATGAGGGATCACTGCATAAGTATGGATGTCCCAAAATACATCCCAGCCATATATATCAATATAGACATGGCACAGCACAGATGTTGAGGCTGAGCAGCTTGAAAAGTATCTCCAAATATGAATATGATTGCTGGCATTCACACAAAACTTTTGGTTATTAGTTAGATATACAAATATTATCAAGCTTTTGGCAGCTGAATAACACGAGCAGTTCGAGAATAATATGCCCCTGCTTCTGCATCCTCGCCAGTGAAGTCTGAAGACACACCATTGTATCTCCCTTTGGAAAAGTCAGGGACGTAATATCGTTTTACCCGCCAGCACAATTTGCTTTGGTCACGCGCCTGCAGGATTCCAAAGACGACAGAAAACAATAAAATACCTCCTATACATAGCATTATTGCCCAGGCTAAATGTTTCATGACATCAGGGTCCAAGAAGTCCCATATCATTTTCTTTTCACATAAATCGTTTTTCCTCTCGAAACCATTATTACACTGGTAACAGTCATCCGGTAGAGCTCCCTTGCAGGTGAGACACGATTCGTGACAGGGCTTGCACAGCCCCTGTGTACGCAGTAAGGGTTTGGTGGAATTGGGCAGAATTGGGGCCAGGTGCACAGCCTCAAGACTGCCGAAGTAATGCTGGGGACAGTGAGCTACACAGGTGTCGGACATCTTGAAGTAGCCTGGCTTGCATTCTGAAACAAACAGCATACATCAGAATTCGCCTATTTGTACAGTAAAGATAAAAAGTATTAAAAGCATAATGATAATCGATAGGAATCAGTTTGTTTTGTAATTAGTTCAGATAGATGTTTCTGATTAATCCATATATATATATAATATATATATATATATTATTCAGTGTTATTTAGCAAAAAAAATGCCCAAAGGAATTAGAAGATAAGTAACAAACATTACTCTCTGGCAAACATGTTTCATGATTTTTATTTAAAAAAAAACAACTTTCAAGTTTAGTATAAACAGTAAATCATGACTATTGCATAAAATGGTGTTGTTGATGGATTATGTTAAGTGTAATGGAATATTTGTGCTAATGACAAAAATAAGCTGAAAAAGCAATGACTGATCAGAACCATTTCAGTATCAAATCACCCTTGAGATCCTCAGCACACAATTATGGAGTAAATCTACAGGTAAATGTTAATATTAAAACCCAAAATCACAATATGCCAGGTTATCCTCGAATAATCTATCAAGGCAACTTGAAAGAAAAGAAAAAGAAAATTTGAAAATGAAAGATATCATGATACTGTTTGTAAACAAGTGAGAAAGTACAGAGCATAAAGGATTCTGTCTAAATTAGTGTGACGTATTGAAAAGGCAACCAACACTGTGAATACTTGGAATGTTAATGCTCATTTCAAACCATACAGCCTGATTTGACAGAAACATCGTACAAAGAGTACAGCTCACTTCTCAACCATGAATAATATCAATATCATCTATTTTTTATTAGTTCATTCCTGATTGTTCTTTACCTTGTGAACGAACACCTAATCTAGACAGATTCTTTCATGACAAACTTTCTGGACTTGTAATATTTGTTTCTCAGCTCATAATGAAACGTTTCAAATGTAATACACATGCTACATCATTAACTGACATAAAAAGGTGTGTATTTCATGATGCTAATATACACTCAACCTACTAGGGTTATCTCTAACTGAACTCACTCATCAATCAAACATACACGTTCTTAAAAAAGTATGGTACTAACTAGAAAAGGAATTTGTCTTAAAATGCAAAAACAGAGCTAAAAAATCTAAAACACAATATATAATGATACATAATTAGCTATAGTGACCTTTGCATTATGCATACCCGGATTAATGTTTTTAAAAATCTTTGAAACCCTTGCTTTTGGGTCAAAGATCGCATTTTTTGAACAAAAACATATCATTTTTTGTTCTAGTGTTAATACTTTCCACATGATCATGCAACAAGATATTGGAAAATAGTTTGACTTATTATGGAATTTTGAACAGACTTACTTAATCTGCTTGATAATCAAGGAAATTATGTTTTCTTTTGAAAACACTATGTATACATACTCTGCAGTTTAGATATAAAGATAACATCTAACAATAAAAAAATGTTTATCACCACAGCTGTTTTTGTGGTTTTTTTTTGTTATTTTAAACTTAGTTTGATACATATTATCACATATGTTGACTACATAGGGATGAGAAAGATGTACAAACACATATTAACATCAAAGTTTTTGCAACAAAATTCACTTCTGCAACTATTACCCATTTTTGCATGTGTAACTAAATGATGCTTTAAAGTATTCAAGACATTCCAACAAATTCTGACAAAGATGAAAGGGATTTTGTAGTACTAGCTTACTTATGATGAATTATTTCAGTCATTATACCTGCCCCTGCCTTAAAACTGACAATGAATCTATGGATAAACAAAACAGATACAAAAGGGTGAAGACCCCCAAAAGAGATTATTATAGCTGCAGCACAATGGTAAGTATGTCTGACAGTATTCTAACTTTAATTTCACTCAGTCTTACTTCTGTAAATACAGAACTCTTTCCATGCTGATACTGTCACAATGCCTTGACTTTCTACTGTTTGTAAATGGAATGAACACACATGCTGTTAGTTTTACTATGCAACTAAATATACGCAAAGTAATCAATGAGTTAAGACAACACATGCATACATGCTTTTCAAAATAACTTCTAAAATATGTACATAGCAGACTCAAACAAAGCACAAATGCATTGTAACACACAATGATAAACTTTCTTCATCAGGGTGGTATTTTGTTATCAATGTGTCAGGAAAGTATAAACTGAGGATGTTTCAGTAACAAGAGAAACACCATGAAAGATACTAAAGGAATTGTTCATTAAAAAAGACAACAACAAAAAACAAAAAAACAATTTCATCCCTGATCTTGCAGTCTTAATCATAATTTGAACCACATGCCCTGAGTATATATCAGTTTAGATTTGAGATAGGAGTCTTCTGTCTCATGAAAACATGCCATATTTCAGGTACATCCAACTACCTGGAACTTCCATACTTTGCATTAGACTTTATGTAAAGATGTATATAGAGAGCATTCATTCCCAGCATTATGTATAGATATTTTTTTATTTAGCACAGCTTTGTACTGAACACCTGTATTTGGACTAAATGACTCTTTTCAGATCATGCATGTTAGGCAGTTGAAAGTGTTCCATTCAAAGTGTTAATTTTGATGCAGAGAATAGAAACAAAGCAGGCTCAACTCACCAGGACCCAACCCAACTGGAAAGCAACCTTTAGTTTTATCTTGCAAGCTGAAAACTTTACCTCTGGTTACTCTATGTGTGATCAGAATTGTGTCAGGTAACATATAATATTTGGTAATTACAATCAAATATTTTAACCTGAGATGGTACTTTGGGCATTTTCATTAGAATTGAAACGTGTTACGTAAATAATTTTGAAATAATCATAATTAGAGGAATAGTTGTTTTAATCATATTTTAAATAAAGCTGTCATCTTATAAACCTCAGCTTGTCCTTATCAAGTGCAGGATAGAAAATGTTCAAATAGGTACAGTATACATAATTTCAAAGCTGTGACCCATGTTTTAAGCCACTTCCAACTAAAATGTTAATGACTTTAATCATGATAAACATTGCCCTTTGTTCAATAAGTTTTACTGTATGAACTGACCAGACCGTTTAATTTTTGAAAGTGAAAAAATCAATTTGGATTCCTAAATTATTACAAATAATGTTCATGTTTTTGTAAGTGCAAAGAGTTTCACCTTCTTCCCATGCAATGCCATGAGTTTCATGTCATATGAGTGTCAGTGTGACAGAGTAAAAGCAAGTATTCCCTCTTATCTCTACAAACTGAGTCACAGCACGTCTTCACTTGAATGTTAAAAAGCAACTTAAAGGAACATTATGGCAGCAATTAATCTTTCACAAGCAAAAGCTATTGTGGATTTCAAGTGAAACTGCATATTTGCAAATATTGCTCCATCAACATAGATATTAAAAAAATGAATAAAAGCTTTGAACTTCATACGAAAAATGTTTATATAAAAATGTCATTTCCAACAAAATAAATGTATATGAAGTGAATCTTATTTTAAATGAAAGAGTGTGTAATAAAATAAGCAATGATTTTTGTAAAATATAAAGGATCTGTGTAATAACATGAAAAATCTGAACAAGAAAGCAGAAAATTCTTTTGTAAATCAAAATATAAGCAAAACAACAGAACATGCAAAATGAAAGCAAGAAAAGGCAGGGTGACGTTATGTACATATTTATTGAGTACAGATGAAGTCATAAAGGATAGAATCCTTGTAATAGCTCAATCAATAAATTTACATCTCATTATTTGTTTGTTTCCATTAAGAAAAGTTCACATGGTAAAAGTATGCTCAGACTGAAAAATGACAGCTCTGGAGATAGAGACAGATATTCCTAAGTTTTGGCATGCGGTACTTTTTTTCAACTATCATTTAAAAATTGAATTCATGAAAGAATCATTTGCATGCACAGATATGACCAAGATGTCACTACATTCTCTGTTTCATTGCAGAAATAACACCTAAAACCTTGCAAAATCAAGATTTTTTCTTAATATCAGTTTTGTGTAAAATGTAACATAAGACTGAGACAGACTGAAAAAATAACAAAACATGTTCAACAAAATAAGTTATCTGTCAACTATCATGTATATACACATATATGTCACCTGAATTCAAAATATCAAGAACATGTCATGACAAAAGAGCCCTAAAAAAATTGTTTTCAACATTTTTCTATGAAAATATAAAATAAAAGAGCACTTCACTGTAATAAATGTTCATTAAGTAAGTCAAAGAATCTACAAGCTACTGTTGAAATCAATAGTTTACCTACATACTAATAACATAATATAACTTGAACTTCAAACAACTACCAGTACATTTGACTACACTATTTATTAGTATGTGTGTGCTGTTTTGATTCCAAAGAAGCAATATATTATTGGTGTGAAGTGAACATCAGAAATTTAACAGAAGCTTTAAAGCTAATTATTTGAAATTACAAAAAATAATGGACACTAATATTTGGTGTGTTAAACTAGAACTTGACTTGCCTCTTTCCTGACTAAGTCTGCCCTGTCATGATGATGAACAAGGCTAAAATGCTACATGGACTTTGCCCTATATCAAAGACAAGGAATCATGGATGAGTGCACATTAGTAGATTTTAGAGCTCTCTTGTCTCAGAACAAATTAATATTTGTTGCCAATAGCTATAACAAAAACCTACATCTGATAAAATACATGGATTTCTGCCTTTCAGTGAATACACATGATTTCAGAATCCTGTAATGGTGAAACAGGTTTGCTTTTAATATCCTTCAACAAATACTGGCTGTTTAGAATAAATTAATGACTGAAAAGACCCACAGAAAGGTCTGAACATTGTGTGAAATATATTAAAAAGAGGTCACAGGCAATGCCATGGATTGCTGGATTTCAGTGAATACACATTTTCGGTCACACCATGATTTCAGAATCGTGTAATGCAGTGTTCGCGAATAGTGTCTGACCCTCTGACAAATCCGGCAGATTCACCAACGGTCCGATAGAAGTCTACAACCCACCGGCCCCAGTGTCCGACTGTATATTTCACAATGACTTTGACTGAAGTTGTTA